GTGCATGAGGGAGCAGAGAGGTAATGGAAGATTAAATCCGTACTGGATCCCAGGGAGACAATAAAACAACAAGAAATACAATTAATTTTTGTGTGTGTGTGCAAGAATGTGTAAATGTGTGTGTGTGTGTGTGTGTGTCAGTGAGTGTGTCTGTCAGTGTGTGTATTTCTGTCAATGAGTGAGTCTGTCAGTGAGTGTGTCTGTCCATGAATGTTTCAAATCAGTGAGATTGTGTGTCTGTCATTGGGAGTGTGCGTCAGTGGTTCCTGGCTACCTTTTTAAAGGAACACTGTTGCTGTCCACGGACCTGGCACTTGACGTATTCTACCCTGCATCAACCTGAGATGCCTATACATACTAGAGCCAACTTCTAACTGGCTCTTTAATTTGTGAGTGTTCCAAGTTATCTCACCATTCTGATTTGTGTTTACATACTAAACCATTATATTTTTATCTTTCCTTTTATTTAGGTTTTATGTTTCCATTTGGGTTAAGCCAGCCTCTAGTGGCTGTCTTCCGGAGAGCCACTAGAGTCGCATCTGCCACGCTGGAGGCATATTATGCCTCCATCGCACAGAGCGTCCATAGGAAAGCATTGAGAAGGGCTTTCCTATGGACACTTGGAATGTGCGCGCGGCACTTGCCGCGCATGCGCATTCGGCTCCACTGACATCGGCAGAGGGAGCTGACTTCGGCGGGGGAGGAGAGGTCACCAGGGCCGAGGGAACCCGGCACTGGAATAAGGTAAGTGGCTGAAGGGGTTTTAACCCCTTCAGTGCCACAGGAGGGTGACCCTGATGGTGGGGGCACCCTCAGGGCACTACAGTGTCAGGAAAACTGCTTTGTTTTCCTGACACTATAGTGATCCTTTAAGCACACAGACGCACACTCTCAATAACAGACACACAATTTATTGAGCAAAGAGCTCTTTTTGAAAAATGTATGGATGACATTTCTTCATTTAATGTTTGCTATTGGTGTCTGCTGAATCTGCTTATTTGTTTTTTCTCTTTGCTTTGGACACATCCTATCATATTAAGATTCCACTCATTAGTGAGTATTCTCTCCTGCAATGCATATATGTGTCTGTCTGTGTTTCTCTGTGTCTGGGAGCATATGTGTGGAGAGAGCTGCTTACAGTGTGTTGTGTGTATGGGGGGGGGGGGATTGTGGTCTTGCTATGCACATTTTGTTTACAGTGGGGCTGTGTTGTCTGTGTGCAAGGAGTGATTGTGTGAGTATGAGGATTAATGTCTGCGGGGTGACTGTGGCAGGGTTCTTGTGACAGAATGAGTATGACAGGGTGACAGTAACAGAGTGAGTGTGAAAGGGTGATTGTGTGAGGGGTAAATGTGGGGGTAATGTATGACAGAGAGACTGTCTGTGTGGGAGAGGGGATGATGTGACAGAGTGAGTGTGTTTGGGGTATTGGGGGTGATGTGACAGGGTGACTGTGTGTGTGGGAGGTGAGGGGGTGTGATGTGACAGGGTGAGTGTATTACTGTGTGGGGAAGGAGGAAATGTTACGGTGATTATTTGTGGGGCTAGGGAGTGATGTGACAGGATGACTGTGTGGGGGGTCATGTGAAAGGGTGGCTGTGTGTGGGGGAATGGGTTATGTGACAGGGTGAGTGTATGTGGGAGTGAGTAGGTGATGTGATAGGCAGAGTGTATGTGGAGGAGGGAGGTGATGTGACAAGATGAATCTGTGTTTGTGGGGGGAGGGGATAATATCACAGGGTGACAGTGTGTGGTGTGGAGAGGGTGGGACAGGGCAAGGGTGTGTGGGGGAGGGGGTAATGTGACCGGGAGACTGTGTATGTGTGGGTGAAAATGGATGATGTGACACGCTGATTGTATGTGTAGGGGGAGTGGTGTGATGTGTCAGCATGAGTGCATGTAGTAGATTGTATTTCCCTGTTCAGCCTCCCCAGACATTGCTGTTTGATTTGTTTGAATGTGAGCCCTCCCCTTCCCTTCCCACTTACCTCCCTCAGCTCTTCTCTCTTCTTCAGCCACCCTTCATTTGCCCTCTGGCATGGTGGCTCTCTCTGCAGTGTCTTGCAGCAGGCTGCACAGAGCAGGTAGAATGTGATATAATGTTACATCCCCCACTGAGCTCCATGTGACAGGGAGGGGAGAAGTATCCTCTGACCTCCATTAATCCTCCTCCCCTTCAGAAAGCTGCAGCTCCTGTCAGAGGAAAAATACATGGGATAAAGACAATCAGTCACAGTCAGTTTGTATTCATGTTTTTTAAGTTCATAACATGGCGGCTTCGCTCCTCTGCTTCACAATTGCGGGGAATTAATGCATGGAGCCATGGACTCCACAAGACCTCTGACTGTGTACTGTGGTATCTGACATGGAGACAGGAGCAGCAGTTGTTCCAGCACATCCCACAGATGCCCCATCAGATTTATATCTGTGGAATTTGGAGACCAAGGCAACAGCTTGAGCTCTTTGTCATGTTCCTCAAACCATTCCTGAATACATTTTGCAGTGTGGCAGGCTGTATTATTATGCTTAAAGAGGCCACTGCCATCAGAAAACACCATTGTCATGAACGGGTGTACGTTGTCTGCAACAATCTCTAGGTGATGTGTGTCAAAGAAAACATCCCCATGAATGCCAGGACCCAAGCTTTTTCATCAGAACATTACCCAGAGTATAATGCTGCCTATTTCCCATGGTAAAGCCATGACAACATTTCCCCACACACCCGGCCATCCACCTGATCTAAAAGAAATCTTGATTCATCAGACCAGGCAACCTTCTTCCATTGCTCCATGGTCCAGTTCACATGGAGCAAAATAGAACATAATGCTCACATCTCCACTGAAGGCACTTTCAGTGGTGAACAGGGGTCATCATGAGTACTCTGACCAATCAGCAGCAATGCATCCCAACACCCAGCAAACTGCGATGCTTTGTGTGTTCTGACACCTTTCTATCTTGTCCAGCATTAAGTTGTTGTTTTTTCAGTAATTTTAGGTACAGTAGCCCTCCCATGTGATCTGATCAGACAGGCTAGTCTTGGCTCTCCACTTGCATCAATGAGCCTTGGGCACCCATGATTCTGACAACGGTTCACTGGATGTCCTTTCTTGCACCACTTTCGGTAGGTAGTAACACTGCATACTGGGAACACCTTTGAGCGGATCGTCTAGCCATCACTATTTGGCCCATGTCAAACTGAGATCTTTTCAGTCACCCATTTTTCCTGTTTCCAACACTTAAAATTCAAGAACTGACTTTTCACTTGCTGCCTATTATATCCCACGCCTTAACAGATCCAATTGTAACAATATAATCAATGTTATTCCCTTCCCTTATCAGTGGTTTTACTATTTTGGCTGATCAGTGTACGTGACTAAGTAATGGCCTACATTTTCTAAATGTTTAAACATATTTATAAGAAACAAAGGATTTCAAGATTTAGATTTCTAAATGCATATGATCAAATATAAAAAAAATATTTTCTATATATTGCTGCTTTATAGAGAATAAAATCAAAAGTGTTTATCATGGCAATTAAAACTAAAAGTATTTAATTTCAATGTTTATATCCTTAATCGGATAAAATACTCAGCAAAGCTGTCTGAAATTTGCATAAAAAATTAATTTTATGCTAAGAGATATTTAAAAAATTTAAAACTGAATGCCAGAGCTGCTGATCCTTTTGCAATTCAATGTTTAGGACATAATAAAGTAAATAATAGGTAGCTAAATAATAGGTTGTGGAAAATATTGCTGGGGGAGTGGATCTCTCCATTACAGAATACAAAAACCAATCAACAAGATTACTGTGCAGTTTGCTCTAGCTGTGGGAGAATCAGCAGACTTATGTTTAGAGAGCCTGACTAATCTGTAAAGATGCTACAAAACATGTAGCAAATGTAGAGCTCCCTTTGGAGAATGAAAATATGTTATGACACACTAGACTGTGAGTTCTAAACTGTAAATGGCAGCTGTGTGCTAATTGCCTTTTCATAGGATTGCAATAAATGCAAGTTTGACCTACAGCTCTACAAATACACTCAGGTACACAAGCAGAAATGATGGAGCCCTTACAAAACCACTAGGTAAGTCCCAACCAGACATACATTCTTAAACATAAGTACACCCCCCCCAGACTTAGACACATGTTGCAAGTATGGATGGAAATGGATGACTCCTCCTATCCTTAATGTCGAGAAGGTGTTCGACCACTTCCATTGGGACCGTTAATGGCAAACTTGATATGCTTCTGAGTTACTAAAAGTCTTTGTAGTAGCAGGGCTGTACTAATTTTCTACTGTATGTATCTAGACATCAGGGTGCTTATCTCAAGTGTGCAAAAATAGTAATGTGACCAAACAGGGGTGTCCCCTGTCCCCTCTTGTATTTGTTTTAGATTGTGTGATTAACCTTGATGAATAAAATATCAGGTTGTAAATACTAAAAAACAATCCAGGAAGCACTGTTTGCAGACGGTATCCTGCTGGTTCTAATGAACCCTTTTGACTTCACCCAACTTCATAAGAACAGTAGGGTGTAGTATCTACTCTGTCATGCGAAATCACAAGTTTTGGGTGTAGTTATTGACATTTCTTTAAGCCTTCCTGCACACTACTTATAATGTTTAGGAGACAATTCATTTTTAGGCATTATCTTATACACCAATATTACCTGTGGCAAATAATTTATCTCACGTCTGAAAATCTATGCAGCAAGATTTATTACATATTAAACACTGTGAAATTTCATTAAAAAAGTGCAGCAATCAAAAAGATGCTATGCCAAAATACTTTCCATATTTCTTTCATACAACCCACTTCCCCTTCCCTTTACTGAAACTCAAAGAAATCAAACAAACCTTAAACAAGTTTATGCATGCATGTAATAAACATGTTTTCTGCAGTCAGTTTAAATGGCTTCAAGGATAGGTGACACCATTTGAGAGTCCCCAATCTAATTCCCTATTATAGAGCACTTATTTCAGCAGAAATGCTACTCTTGTTTGACGCCAGCATAGGGCAGTTGGGTTGATATAGAATGCATCACCTTACTCAAAGAGTAGACATGTGAGTAAGATATAATAGAGGCCACATAATTCTAAGGTATTCCAGTGCCACCTTTCTGCAACTAGAAAAGACATATAACATGCCCGCTAAAGATTTTTTTTTTTTTTTTGGTAGCTTCAGTTTAGGCGCTTTTAAATATCATACCAACAAATATACTGCAATTTAAAACGCAGTGTGTCAGTTTCTGAAAAAATCACAGTTCTGATAAAAGTTTGATATAGTGAAATACAGATAGCTATGTATCATTCTCCTCCCACTCATGAAGTTAGTTGGGAGAAAAGTCTCCATTGGCAATTATCAGATAGGGATCGGTCAAGTATACTATTCCACAATCTGGAGATTACTAGGTGTTCAGATCGTAGAGGAGCTTTGGAAACTGGTAGGCATATACTACAAGCACCACACGCACGTCTAGATCAGTTTTACTTGGTCAATGTAGAGCCACTAGATGTGTGTTTAACTCTGCAATGTAAAAATTGCAATTTCTATAATGTTGCAGTGTTTTACATTGCAGGGTTAAAAGGGCAGGTCCACTGCACCCAGATCAGTTCATTGAGATGAAGTGGTCTGGGTGACTTTTCTACCAGACACATTTTGCACATCAGAAGATTGTAACTACGTGAGCTATGTCAATAGACAGGAAAGTTTACATCTTTCTAAATATAATTTATCTCCATTTACGTTTGGGCTTATAGTATTATTTTAAAGTTGCATGCATCAACTGAGACAACAGTCTCACTCAAAAGATTTAAATTTGGATGAGACAGTTGCCTCTCTCTGCAAGCTGAAAAAAGCAGGTAAATATGTTTTCACATTTACCTGTTTCTTCTTACTTATGCTTTCCACATCCACTCAAAGATTTTCATCAATCAGCGTCCTATCCCTAGGAATGCTGGAAAAGTGCATTTGACATACCTGATAGATTTACACATGTGCAGTTGGAAGATCTCTTTGCCTTGTAGTATCTGGGCAAGGGGAGAGGAAAGGAGTCTAAACAGTGTTTACACACATGCAGAGCAGGCTGTGGTGTCGGGTTTCTTTCTCCTGCTGCTGCACAATGATGCCCTGTTTCTGTCATTAGTGGACTGATCTGAAACTGAGGTGGGTATGTAAGAGGGAGGTCGGAGGGAGGCTGACAAAGCTCTCTTAACTGAGAGGCGTGCCCAACAATAGAATCTGACCAAGTTCATAGTAGGTTTATAAACATTTATTACATACTTTTTTTATTTCTTGCTTTATTTTTGTTTGTTTTATTTAAAAGTGTTTGCTTGCTAGTTTAAAAAAAATAATTGTCGAGTGACGCATGTCCCTTTAAATTAACAGATATTTAATACTCTATGATATATTAATAGTAACAGAGTTTCTTTAACAAGATTTTCAAAATGAATTCTAAATAAATTTTTTAACTTCTGGTGCAGCGTTAGAAAAAAGTCTAGCTAAAACTTCAATCAAGAAGATATTTGATGACCAGATTATAGTCTATTTTATGAGATCTAATCATGATCCTGTCTGCCCATCACTTGCAGTACCTCTATCTTCTTCATGATTTGAGTTTTCGTGAAAAAGATATATGTATGAGTAAGTTTAAAGATGTTTTTGTCCTAAACTGAGTGTGTCCCTTGTGTGTCATTGAGAGGTTCAGGGGCAATCTCCATCGGTATTTAAGGCCCTTTTCTGCAAAAGCTTCAAATTTACATATTTTTTCTATCCTATGTTTTAAGATACAAAATGGGTACATCTGAATCTAAACAGGAAGGAAATGGCGTGCAAGATCAATGCTCATCGTAACACGTCATGACACGGAGGACAGGAAAACTACATCACATAAACTCATCAGCTCCTTTGGCTCCCAATATTACTTCTACGCAGATGACACACAATTCTATCTGTCCTCTCCTGATCTCTCACTGTCACTCTTGACTGTGTTTTGGACTGCCTCTCTGCTATCTCTAACTGGATGGCTGCTCATTTCCTTAAACTCAACTTCTCCAAATCAAAATTACATTTCTTTCCTCCCAAAAGTGTTGCTACTGGTGTGTCTGTCTTCCTTCGAGGCAATCGCACTGCCATCAGCTCTATCTTACATTCTCACTGCCTAGGTCAGGGGTAGGCAATCTTTTAGTAGCACTGTGTCGAAATAAGATTGTGATGTCCCGTAGCGGGCAGGTCCTATATTTTTAATTGAGGTGTGTATGTTGATGTATTCTGCTTGTGTTATTTATACTGCAGTTGCTTTGTATCATTGTATTTGTGCGTGTATGAGCTATTATATTGCATATGTTCCCAAGTAGTTTGTGGTGTTGTGTATGATACCTAAGAATGCTGTGTATGGGGGCTGCTTGTGGAATTGTGTGTGGGCCGCTCTACCCCAGTGTGGATTCCCATTCACAAGTGCTGGGAGGAAGTGATCTGAGATCACTTCACCACCTTTTTGTATTAGCAGATATCTGAAGTTTCACTGGGACTCCTGAAAAGCCTGAGCCTATTTGGCTCTAGCAGCCTTGAGTGCCGTTCAAAGACACCTCAAGTGCCGTGCATGGCACACAGGGCATAGGTTGCCTACCCCTAGCCTAGGTGTTCTCTTTGATTTCAACCTATTCTTCACCCCTCATGTCCAGTCAATCACCAAATCCTGCCTCTTTAATTTCAAAACAATAGCATGCATCCATCAATCTAAAAGGTGATGCGGCTATGGTGCTAGGCCATGCTTCATTTTTCCCATGATTAATGCAATCCACTTCTCATTGGTCTCACACATTCCCAGCATTCCTCGCTCAGTCTATAATGAATACTGCAGTGAGGCTCATCTTCCTGTCCGCAACTCCCATGCTCACTGTTAGTCTTTACATTGGTTTCCCATAAGATATAGAACTCAATTTAAAACTCTGGTGCTTGCTTACAAACTCTGCATAACACTACTCTTACCTATGTCCAGGCCTCTACACCCTGCTGAAGACTTACTTCTATTCCCTGTTTGTTCTCACACCTCTGTCTCCTGTCTGCAGTGGTAATTCTAAAATATGCTTCCCCAACCTGGTGCACATAAACTACTGGACTATGTAAGCACATTTAGTAGGCTTGTGCAGGGAAACAAACAGAGGGACAGACCGACAGACATGTATAAATATAATACTACATGTTTGCCTGGTGTTCACCATTCTTGCAGCCTGCTAGTCTTCCTGCAGCTCAGCTCACTGAAGCTGCTGTCAGTGACTGTGCTGCATATGTACAGGGTTATTAAGCAAGTTTTTCAGAATGTTGGTGTGTGGTTAAGGAGGTAAACTTTTAGTGCAGAATCCTGCATTACATTTCTTTGTTGTTTGCAAAACCTATACATATTTCAGCATGCACAAAATCATACTGTTGAGTTAAAATCTACCATTTGCATTTGCAACTTGTTTTGGTGCCCATAGTGTATCATTAAAGCAGAAAAACACCCTAAAAAATGGAATGGTTGCAAGAATCAAAACAAAAACACATGGCATTTTAATAGAAACAGTGTAAAGTAGCTAGTACTGCCTATTTCAATGACATGACACCTATATATTGCTAAATGGCGTCTGTATACTTTGAAAACAATGCATTCCATTGTGGAATGGGAGCTACTTATAGTTAAAACGTGGAATAAATGTTTTGCGATCCCCCAACCGTGAAGCAGTTACATGAACACTTAAAATCTTCCCTTTGAAATCTGAGTCATTACAAGAACAAGTGATACTAGAAGACGATACTGGTATGGGTAAAATAGTAGAAGATCTAACTTCACTCTGATCTTTTCATAGATTAGCAAAAAACGCATTTTAACTCTGGTTCCAAAGCAAATAATCTTAAACGTAACAAATAATACTTTATTTTGAAGGCTGGTTTTGAAAACAGTTTTTAAAGGACTTTATTCTGCTAAATTGTGTTACATAAAGATTTGCAACAACAGTATCTTATTTTTTTCACTCGAAAGATACATGTGAAATAAAGTTCCAGCTGGAGACGTAACATAAAGAGATTTTTTTAAGGAAGGATATTTACACAAATTTCTTCTGATTTTGATCCCCCTTTTTTCCCCAGAAGACCTACAACTGTGTTATACATCCTTCTGGCGGGGAAGTGGTTTAACTTCCTGGATAGGCAAAAACCTACAGTGTATCTTTGTATTGTGCACAATGCACAACGTATTTATATCAATGATAAATGTGTTTATGTACAGGTATAATGGAGAAATTAAACAACTCTACAGAATTCAGCAAATGTCTGCATGCATTGAGTGTGTGTTCAAGGGTTGATAAAGTCTGATTTGTCGTATAGCAATGAAACAAGGGTCAAAAACGTGGAAAAGATGATCTTCTATTTTCATCACCACATGGGAGGGTCGTCGAACCTGGAAAAGAAAAAAATAGACCTGGTTACTGTATTTTATCAATAAAAACCCGGAAAAAAAATCACAAATCTATGATTTATAGAAAAGAACAGGCAATCTCTCAGTAAAATGTGTATTAATTGAAAAGACATAAAAGTTATATAGAGAGTAATAGATTCTCTTTTCTGGTGGGGTTCATGTGCTCTTCGCACAGCTACATAGTAGAAGTTTTAATTGATAAACTAAATAGGGTTTATTAATTTAATAGTGAATTTAGGTGAATTTAAAGCCACAATTTAAAATTATGGCAAGAATTGTTCCATCTGCGTTATTATGTTCTAAATTTTAATTTATTGATTCAGTTTTCAATTCACTACAGTTTACTATTTAGTGAATATATCCTAATCTAGTTATAATTTTAATGAAGTCCTTGTTTTGTCTTCTAATATCTTCTGGTATTCTTGGAATTACAGTGAAATTCCAACACACTCAACATGAGTGTGTTTGGTAAAGAATGTATCTTTATGAAATACTCAAAAAGTGATAAGAAGTGACAGAGCTGCTATAATGATGTTGACCCAATCACATCTTTTAGACATTACTTCTAGTATTTATAGATCAGGAAAGTAGGGCCCTATTTATAGCTAATCAGTCAAACCTAAGCAATTATCAAATTATATTGACATATTAATGGAGCCATTTTGCTTTTATTGAATTCAACAGACAAAAGGACAGAAAACACATTTGAATAAATTAATATCACAAAAAATGATCAAACCAAATAACACCTTTGCAATAAAGCATTAAAAACTGCCTTGTGTAGGTGAAGTATTTTACAGCTGCAGATCCCAAGTTGCAAATAATGTTAAATTATTCGCTTGGCTGTTAATAATTTTTAGCCTGTGATGCAATTGCAAAGCCCATGAAATTGACATTTAGTTGCTAACCTCACAATTTGATTGGGATTAATTGTGTGATTAATATTGAAAACAAAACGTTCAAGATAATAATGATTTTGAGCTGCTTCAGCATCAACGGCAGAATTAAAAAAAAAATAGCATTTTGGATTGTGATGAAAACAAATATACAATGCTGGCTGTAGTTCATTATCATTATCAAATGAATCGTTATCAGATGAAAATAAGCACAAGAACAAGATATGTCTGGCAATGATAAGTTGTAGGGGTGTGAGGGCAGCTTAAATTGGTACCATGGACTTGCCAAGCAAGAACAGAGTTACCTAATTTTCAAACCAAATAGTAATGAGTGGAGACACCTTAAAAATATTGAGCAAAAAAATGGTGCCCTCTCTTCTATGACATTGATTCATTCATGCACTCTAGTTGTTGGTTATTCTGCTTGATCTTCGACCGGTTAAGTTGACCAAAGATAATTACAGTTAAAGCTTGTCTGGAGCTAAACTAAGCCAGGATATGCAATGGAAATATGTATTTGCTTATAGGAATGTACAAAAACATAGGCTGCCATATATAATGCAAAATGATGAAAGGTTTCATTCAATGATTGAGCATGGGATTCAATAAGATGAAGTTGTTAAAGTGCCTAGAATGTCCCTTTAGTCAAATTACATAGATATTAAAATGTTAAAACATTAGTACGGCTATTCACTAAAGTGAGAATTCATAGTGCATTTCAGATTTAAGGACAAAATGGCAGCAATGCAAACATTGTATAGGTCAGCTATGCTATCAGCTCAACTATTCTTTCCTTAAATTTGAAATTCACTTTGAAGTCTCACTTTAGTAAATAACCCAGTAAAGATTTCTTGGTTAACCAATCGAAAGGATCTTTATCTCTCTCTCTCCCTGCATAAATATCAGATAGAATGTACACAGAATATTATTTTAATGTGAAGATTCCCTACTGAGTTATATCTCCTCTCAAAATAAATTACATTCAATTCAAAACTTAATGCATCACTGTCACATCAAACTTACCTTTCTCCTATTGTTTCCTCTCCTCTTGCTCTCCCAAAATCTGTTCTTCTTTTCTTTTTTTTTCTAATCTACTTTTCTTTAAAACATATGATAAAGTAGGGACTACTTTGTCTTATGTATGTTTTCTACACTTGACATCCTTTGACCAAAGGAGAAGCTTAGGTCAGCTCCATTTCCTGTGTCAAAGAAAGAACTCACCATTCTCCTTGACATAGGAAATGGATCCGACTTAAGCTGCTCCTTTGGTCAAAGGATGTCAAGTGTAGAAGAAATCCACAAGACAAAGTAGTCCCTACTTTATCTTATGCTATAAAGAAAACTAGATTAGAAATAAAGAAAAAACAACAGATTCTGAGAGAGGGAGAGAAGAGGAAACAACAGGAGAAAGGTAAGTTTGGCATGACAGTGCCGCTTTAAGAGATGCCAGTAAACTGAGTCTGCACCAATAGATGGACTTGCTGACCTTCTGATGGCATGATACGAGGTGAGTGTTTAATCTACTTATCAATGTGCACTGTAGGATTTTATCTGAAAATAAATGATTATGTGAAACAATGTTTAGATTTAGTTAAAATCTTTCTTGTCTGGTAAGCCACAGAGCATGTGCAAAGTGAATGCTCTGCTATACCTGTAACCCTGTAACAGACTACAAGCAGGACAGATACCATCTGATGATAAGTAGACTTATGCAAGCCAAAACAAATAGAATATAAAGAATTAAAAAGTGTAACCAAACTGTGTGTTGCTTAATTATGAGACCTCAATTATCAAATGCTATCCATGAAGGAAACATCCTTGTTCTTCCTTCTGAGAAACATCTAGGATTTATCAACTGATCCAGCCAGAATATCTCCCAAAATTGGTATATGCATTTGTTTCCTTACAGTCGGACTGCTGCAGTGCACAATTATAAAAAAATATCAGTATCTACAGATCTAACAACATGGTGAAGGGTATTCTACTAATTAATCAGTATTCTACTAATTCCTCAGGACCCCAATCTCAGCACTAGTTAGTTGTTAATTGGCATTTATGCCACAAAGTCGACTTGCCAGCTATGTGAAGGAGCTCTTAGTTCCACACAATTCTTCTTGCTTCCCTTGATAAGAGTCCAAGAGTCCATTTAACCATTTGGTGCTGAAACCTTAAGCCATGCTGCTCCAATTTTGTATACTTTAATGTTACACAGTTCCTTCAGTGGACATTAGTTCAACAGTGATCCGGTAATTGTGATAATTGCTTCTTAAATCCTCACTAGAGGATTTGAGAAAAAAAGGTCTTGCGTTTTATTTTTAATAACAGCTATAAGCACACTTAAATCTTAAGTTGCAATCTATGACCCATAACAGCTTTGCATTAGTGTAAAGTTTATGGCACAGAGTCGTCACTCTTAATTATGAGAGATGTTTATAACAAGAGAAGTTTGTTAAAAATGACTGAAGTGGTAAACCAGGCTCAAAGCTAGCAATCTAAATGCTCAGTTCCTGCCTGTGTCAATTTTGTAGCATACACATACACAACAACCTGAGCTCTTTCTTAAGAGAGATGTCTATGGCTCGACTTATCATAACACACCACGGTACACAAAACTTGCTGCTTTCAAATTATAGAGCAGTTCCTCTAACCCTATGTCACGACTGGAACTGCTCCAGCGGATAAACTACTTATCCTATGAACCTTTACTGGACCTTAGTTTATGGGATAACACCAGAATGAGAGGCACCTGATTGGCGGAGCCTCTTCCTGGTGAGGGAGGAGTCTACCTGATACTACTACTTTCCTGACAATTACAGTAGACTTAGGAAATGGAAAAAGTAAAGTGGTAAAAAAACAACTTGATATAAGAATAAAAATCACTGCATAAACAGTTCTTATTATGATTATTATAATTATCTTTCTATCTCCATCTATTCCTTAGTAAACAGCAACTTGCTGTCTAATACTGATTGATGCCATATGGTCCATTAGTTTAACAGTGATACTGTAAACATGGTAATTGCCTCTTAAATCCTTACTAAAATTTATCCTAAAATATTATTTCTTTGGGCTTAGAAGCTTTCTAATTGATCCCCTTCTGGTTGTTCATTAGATTCTGACAAAATACATTATTTTTACATTCCCTATGAACGTCGGTTCCTGGCCTGTGCACACATTTTTTTTTAAAGTCAATAGAAATTGTATTATTATAATGTAGCTAATATATAATGTCATGGTAATTCTAAAGTATTTCGAGACATTATGGCATTAAAGAACATGAAATTAAGCCATGAGGACTACAGAAGGAAATAAGACCTCAATTAACATTTGCTTAATAAAACGCTTGTACCCGTTTTAGTTTCTCAGAATTCAGAAGCAACAATATTCTTGTGCTATTATCTCATGGAAAATATAATACGCCTTGTCCACTTCACCGTGTAGATGCAAAATCATAGTGTGGGAATAATTATATAGCTTCAATAATTATAGAGCCAGAACTAACTTTGTATAGTTTTGCCGAACAAAAGTAACAGTATTCAGAAATTTGTCAAATTTAAATGTATCATGCTTTTGAAAATATTTTTCTGGTGTTTTTTTTCACAGATTATCTTTTTAAGGTATAATTGGCATCATAGAAATAAAAGAGCCATACTATTAAATTAAGCAAGTCGTTATATTTCTGCATACTCCTATTTATGCTTGTGTAGTCCAAATTCCTTCTTGATGTCTGCTGTTTATTGATATTACATTATGAGTTTGATTAAGTGTTATTTTGTTACCTAGACTTTCTCTGTTAATTTAAATAATTAATTATTTTATTGAGGAGGTAATTCGCTCTGTGGATTTTGATGACATAGGAAACTGAACGCATCAGTTAAGCACAAAAAAGATCACTTAAAGGATCACTATAGTGTCAGAAAAACAAAGCGGTTTTCCTAACACTATAGTGCCCTAAGGGTGCCCTCACCCTCAGGGTCCCCCTCCTGTGGCGCTGGAGGGGTTAAAACCCCTTCAGCAGCTTTCCTTAATCCAGCAATGGGCTCCCTCGTCGCTGGTGACCTCTCCTCCCCCGCCGACGTCAGCTCCCTGTCCAACGTCAGCGGAGCCGAATGCGCATGCGTGGCAAGTGCTGTGCGTGCATTCAAAGTGTCCATAGGAAATAATTTCTCAATGCTTTCCTATGGACGCTCTGCGCGATGGAGGCGAAATGTGCCTCCAGCGTTGCAGTTGCACCTCTAGTGGCTGTCCGGTAGACAGCCATTAGAGGCTGGATTAACCCCAAATGTAAACATAGCAGTTTCTCTGAAACTGCTATGTTTGCATCTGAAGGGTTAAAACCTGAGGGGCCCGACATCCAGACCACTTCATTGAGCTGAAGTGATATGGGTGACTATTGTGTCCCTTTAATTATTGGGTTTTCAAAAGCACAAATTACATAAAGGTAAAAAAGATAACCCAGTTGTATTAATAAAAAATTCTAAGCATACAAAAATATATTTATCATAGTACGTAATAAACACATGCTTAAGCATGATTTATGAATGTCGCATTACTTCGAAAAACAAAATACAAATATTTAATCAGAATTATCTTAAAAAATTAAATCATTATATGGTTAGTAATCAGTCACTTTATGTCACCTCTTTGTTTATGTCGCTTTATGCATCAGTTCCATTCAAGGGTTTATGTTAATCTTTTTCCTTTTCCTCTCTGTGTGCTCGAGTTCTACAAGAAAAGTGTTGACATTCATTTCTGCTAATGAGGTATTACTTTGCACCTGCTGCCTCTTCCAAGTAGACTACGAAATTCCTTTCTGCTGTGTCCTCTGGACTCTCTCATTCTGATCTGCTTTTTGGCCTAGAATTTTCTCCACCACCCAAGTCTGATCATTCAACATCATTTAATGACAGTGGCCTATACAGTGAATCTGTTTACTACCCAGGTTATAGTTTAGTGGGCACTGCTCCAGCTTGGCCTTCTTTCTCTACATGAGTACAGGTGCTATCCACCCAGAGCCTTAGCTTGCAAGGCGGCTCACCAATTCTTGCCTCTAGTAGGCATTTTATTTTATTAGAAAAATGTCTTTATTACAAAATGCTGCAGTTTTCTCTATGTTTAAGGCAGCCACTGATTCCGTACCAACACTTCAGCAGAGCTGGTGGCTGCTGTAAAGAAAGTGGGAGGAGGTGCAGCAGCTGGTAGGACATGAGCAACGCTTCCACACCTCTGATGCATGATGGACCACAGAACACAATGATGATGCATACAAAAAGCAAAAGCTGTCCAGCACACAGGAATTAGGTACACTGAGCTCTGCAGTATGCACCAGCAGTCCCCAATTAAATGGTTAAGAAAGGCAATCCAGAGGCATTCCAATGTCGTGCAAATCAAATGAAAAGTTTTATTGGTTCGATAGGGCAAAATCAAAAGATACAATGTTTCAGCCACAGGCTACATGATTAAGGCCCTTGTGTGCCATGGTACAAAAACATAGTAACATTCGTCTCATCTAGTCTGCCCAATTTTCTAAATACTTTCATTAGTCCCTGGCCTTATCTTATAGTTAGGATAGCCTTATGCCTATCCCACACATGCTTAAACTCTCTAACTGTGTTAACCTTTACCACTTCAGCTGGAAGGCTATTCCATGCGTCCACTACCCTCTCCGTATCCCTCGCTTGGTTCGAGCTGGCCCTGCAGGGAAGAGTGAAGGAGAGCCGAGAGGGTGGGGCAAGAGAGGGGGGGGGGATTGCCCCGTTGCCCTGCACCCTGGATCCACCACTGCTGCCACTCTAATTTAAATGTCCTTTTGTTGTGGTAGTTTTTCTTCTAAATATAGTCTCCTCCTTTACTGTGTTGATTCCCTTTATGTATTTAAATGTTTCGATCATATCCTCCATGTCTCGTCTTTCCTCCAAGCTATACATGTTAAGATCCTTTAACCTTTCCTTGTAAGTTTTATCCTGCAATCCATGAACCAGTTTAGTAGCCTGCAATCCATGAACCAGTTTAGTAGCCCTTCATGGATTGCCTGTCTTAACGATTACATTGCATTTCCCCACAATGTGGGGGGATAATTTTACTACTGCCACTGCCATCTACAGTGGCGTACATACCGGGGTCGCAAGGGTCGCTCCTGTGACCGGGCCCGGCCCACCAGGGGGCCTGGCCGCCCTGCGACCTTGTATGTACCCACTGTGGCCAGCCTCTGCTCCTGGCTGGCCCTGGTGGTGTCACTCGGCGGGCTGTCTGGGTGGCGGGCGTGCGAGGGCTTCCCCTTCAGCTCCCTCGCGCACCGCAATGATACCGGAGCCAGAAGATGGCGTCATATTCTGGCTCCGGCATCAATACGCGACGTGCGACGGAGCTGAAGAGGAAGCACTCATGGGAGTGTGTGTTAGCTAGTGTCTGTGTGTTAGTCTTAGTTTTTGTGTGTGTTAGTGTGTGTGTGTTAGTGTGTGTTAGTTTTTGTGTGTGTTAGTGTGTGTGTTAGTGTGTGTGTATGTGTGTTAGTGTTAGAGTGTGTGTGTTAGTGTTAGTTTTCGTGTTAGTGTGTGTGTTAGATTGTGTGTGTGATGTTAGTTTTTGTGTTAGTGTGTGTGTGTTAGGGTTAGAGTGTGTGTGTGTTAGTGTTAGTTTTTGTATGTGTTAGTGTGTAGTTAGTGTTAGAGTGTGTGTGTTAGTTTTTGTGTTAGTGTGTGTGTGTTAGTGTTAGAGTGTGTGTGTTAGTGTTATAGTGTGTGTGTGTGTTAGTGTTAGTTTTTGTGTCAGTGTGTGTTAGTGTGTGTGTTAGTGTGTGTTACTGTGTGTGTGTTACTGAGTGTGTTAGTTTGTGTGCGTCTGTTAGTGAGTCTGTTTGGTGTCTGTTAGTGAGTGTGTGCTTTATAAGTGAGTGTATATGTGTCTGTCTGTCAGTGAGTGTGTATGTATGTCTGTCACTGAGTGTGTGTCTGTCAGTAAATGTGTGTGTCTGTTAGCTAGTGTGTATGCATCTGTTCGTGAGAGTGTGTGTGTCTGTTAGCTAGTGTGTATACGTCTGTTCGTGAGAGTGTGTGTGTGTCTTCAGCACTTACCTTTCTCCAGCGCCGGACTCCCTTGGTGCTGGGGAACCCTCCGCCCCGATCTGCCTCTCAACTCTGAATACGCATGCGCGCGCATTCAAACCACCCATAGGAAAGCATTACTCAATGCTTTCCTATGGACGTTCAGCGTCTTATCACTGTGATTTTCACAGTGAGAATCGCGGAAGCTCCTCTAGTGGCTGTCTCAGGCTGGATTAACCCTCAGTGAAACATAGCAGTTTCTCTGAAACTGCTATGTTTTCTGCTACAGGGTTAAAACTAGAGGGACTTGGCACCCAGACCACTTCATTGAGCTGATGTGATCTGGGTGTCTGTAGTGGTCCTTTAAGTGTATGTGTATCTGCATGCACTGGTTAGATACCGCCAGTGGCCATCTGAAAGAAAGAAGTGTAGTCTGCTGTACTTGCCATACCTGGTAGAGACTAAACTCCTTGAAGTATGCCTCAATTTTATTAATACAGAACCGCCCACATATTATTCTTCCACACATTTTGCACCCAGCATCTCCCACCTCCTAGCTCTCTTATCTTCCATTTACAATCCCTGTCACACACTCAATTAACATTTAACACCCGTTTACAGCTACCTACCATTCCTGTTTGATATCACTTACACTGTCGCTTACCCACCACCCTTTTTTTCACACATCTACACCCACCTGCCCTGTCGTCTACCTCCCACTTGATGTCCTACACATTTACAATCTACCCTATTACCGCCACATTAATCCATCAAGTAACTTTGATAGGTGAATTTACCACAAAAAAAAAGTGTATAGTGGGAGACGACTAGTTAGTCAGTCTCATAAGGGACACATTAAAGAAATTCTTCACCCAGGTATAATTTAAAGGACCACTCTAGGCACCCAGACCACTTCAGCATTATGAAGTGGTCTGGGTGTCAGGTCCTTCTAGAGTTAACCCATTTTTTTATAAACATAGCAGTTTCAGAGAAACTGCTATGTTTATGAATGGGTTAAGCCTTCCCCCATTCCCTCTAGTGGCTGTCTCATTGACAGCCACTAGAGGCGCTTGCGTACTAACTTGGCACCACATGATTTCATGGTCTCTATGTTGGACATCTATACTTACATCTGTAATCTAATTCCCATTTGGATTCTTATAGTTACTATGCCTCATATTGTTTTAATATCAGTCTGGAGTATCTATGACTTAAGTCCCTTTTTTCAGGCCATTGCATTTCTTGACCTATACTTGAAAAAGCCTATTTTGGGCGAAACGCGTAGTTTTTTTTTTTTTTTATGATCTTGTCATAATAAAAGTACTTTTTAGACTACCCATATTTCTATGGTCAGTCCTTCTACTTTTATTTTTGCTATTTTTATCCTAGTTGATTTTTTACTGTTTTAAAAGATCCAGTACTACAAAGAAATCCTTAGGTGGGGATTATTCCACTCACGCCTGGTTCATAGAGCAGTGCGGCTGCTCTATATATTGTAAGTACGTTTCATTTTACCTTTTAGCACCAATTTTATCTACTGAGAACACTATGGGCTCTCTTTTGTGCTTTTGTCTTTCATAAATCCTGCACTCCATACATCACCAGAAGGATATCCTACGTGTGGGGAGTTTAAATACCACTGTATGCTGTTTTACTTAGAGCGGGTTATAGCTCTTTTTATTGTAAGTTGGCACTCTTAGGACTTCAGTGTTTGTCTGTAGCTGCAGGTGTCATACGTTATTGCACCATTGGTTTTTTTTCTTCACTCTTATGTATTTTATATGCTGACGCGTATTTGAGACGTTGTACAAAGTATTGAAGAATCACCTATTGTCCAGCTATATCCTACATGTGGGGAGTTTCAAATACCACTGTATGCTGTTTTACCTAGAGCTTGTGTTTACTTTTGTTTTTCATATTAACCACTGAGGACCTTATCAAGAACCTAAGAAGACCTACCCAAGGCCCACCTTGTATTTTCAGAGACTTTCTTTGTAAATATTTGTAACGGATCGCCTGGCACCCCGACTGGGTACCTCCGTTGAAAGATGCTCCTAGCGCTTCCTGAGGACTCCAAGCACTGCAGCCGACACCACAATCACCGAACCAGAGAAGCGTATACCTTCTCTCAAGCATATGAATGCTGTAGACAGTTGAATAGGAACCATACGAATAGGTTTACTCTCCCAGCAGTCAAACTGGAACAGCATACAATAAATCCTTCCCCCAATAATGAGACGACACTTCACTTTGAGGGTTAAAACAGGAACTCCCTGTACTGTCACATACAGTCTCTTTTATTCCCAATCCACAAACATAGTACAGCCCACAGGGCGTTACAAAACAACCAATCAATCCGTACAATACACCCAGACACTCCCACACAAAATCCTCCCCTCTGCATGTGATATGATTACTGAACACAATGGGTAATCTCATTATCACCGGCAGAGGAATACAGTTTTTACACAATATTTATAACTTCTAAAATATACATGTCACAAACATAAAACATACATTTTCATAATCAATCCATTCAGGGGAACAGCATATTAAAAAATGGCACGAATCAGACCAGGGGTTCAAAAGTTAAGGGAAAGTCCTTTGTGACTAAATGAAGCATGGCTTTCTGGCCCAAACCAGTTTCAGAGTCTTCTATCCTGAGAGTAATTCAATTATCTCCCAGGACAGACACAAGACTCCATTAAGCACATGGTTGCAAAAAGACACAAAACACTTTAAAATACATAAAGTCACCTTTTACACATAAGACACAGACATTTCACATATCCCCAGATAGCTGTGATCTGAGCGCACAAAACTACCGAATAGCGCTCAGATCCTATTCACACAGTTCAATTGCCATGGAGCCGAAGTCTTTAACTACACGAATGGACTCCATGGCATAGCTATCTGGGTTAACACATTCACATAAAGTCTGGTCCATAGTCCAAAGGCAAGAGGCGGGCAAGCAGCCCCCTCCAAGGACACGTGGCGAGGCCGGTTTCGCCACAATATTATCTCTCATTTGTTAATATTATCTCTCATTAGCGCACCCTGTATTTTTGTTGTTTCCTGTTCTCCCAGATTTTTTGAAGGGTTTGAGGGTTGCCTTCCCCTCAGGTGTGCAGCTCCACCCACCTCTGTGATCAGTACTGTAGCACTGTTCCACTCCAATTACTATTATTTCTTGACCTATGCCATCTTGTTCTTCTGCTTGTCTCTGACTTCCAAAATTCTTTAATGGAAAGGATTTCTTTGCAGTCATTTGTAACATGTATCTATCTGGTCTGGCTTCTTGTCATCCAAAAATATGAGGGTAACCTATGCGTCTAAACCTTAGTTCCCTGCATCTAGTTCCAGTTAATCCATAACCTGATGCATCTTAAGCTCCTGTTCTTCTCATGACCTTTCAAAAACAAAAATATTCCGTAATTATGTTTTCACTTGAAATGCATAATACTTAATAATTAAAAGTTAGTTTTGAATATAAATTATTGGGTTGAATATTCATACTAAATAATTATAAAGAAGAAAAGCAGACATGCCAAAAAAAATCAGCTGTAGATCCGGCGTAGATAAATGCCAATAATCAGGCTGTTTGAGCATAAATGTTATTATTAACAGGTGACATCACTGTGAAATTAAATTAAATAGTTCATTTATGTCCATCCTGGCACTTAGATCTAGATTCTGGCCTTGTGAAACAAAATCTCCTTATCATATGTTAGCAATAAATCCTGTTTACCTCCCCTGTGGATTTTGCGTTACTATACACTATTAGACGAAATACAAATATTTAGTGCATCCCCTTAATAAACCATTAGATTGCATCAAACATACAGAATCATTCATTCTTATGCCTGCATTGTGTGGTGATGTAAATAAATGGAAAATTATATCAGATTTTTTATATTCTATTTTTCAGACTGCTGAGAGCTTTTAGGTGTTTGTGTAATTAATTCTTTTGGTTTTAAAGACTGGTGATTTTATTACTGATGCCTACTCTATGCAATATTATTTTGGTACTCACACACGATCCCTAGCATGATGAAATGTATTACATGCAGATTTTGAGAATGAGGGATTGGCCAAATGCAAACAATATTTCTGCTTATATTACCTGGGTGATGTTAGAGGAGAGCAGTTATATCAGGAGAGATGGAACATGAAAAAGCAGCACATTTCTAAACTCCAGAAAGAATGTGGGGAAGAGCCTTTGCAGAGCAGTAAAAGACGACGAGGGAGAGAACAGGGATATGGGAAAGTGAAGGAAGGAATATGAAGGGATGAGCTATAAGGAGGAAAAGCAGAGGGAGAGACATCATAAATAGTTGAATGCAACAAAAATAAAAGCAAAGGAATGATCCCCCCATACTTGCAGAAAATAAAATAATAAATCCTACAAGTGTATTAAGTAAACAAATTATATTCTGATATTATTCTGATATTACTTCATGTATAAATGTATACATTGACCTAACAAATTGCTAACAAATTTAGAAATCACTAGTTTATTTATTTCTACATTTATCGCCTGATACTGTGGCCATATGCTGCTGTTATAGAGATTAAAACTAAAAGTAAATCTGCAAAATGTAATCATGCTATGTATGCATACAGTTAATATAGTAATATGACTCAAAGGACGTTAAATTCAGTATCTGTACTATGTGAGCCATGTAGACCCCTATACTATATATTATGGGAGGGTACTTCTTTTTAACTCTTCTCTTTAATTAAAAATATATATTTCATTGCAGGGTTGAGTGGGAGGGAGCTATGAGAAACAACTTGGTTAAGATTTGTATTGAAGCACTATGCAGTATGGTAGACACAGCATTCATGTCAATAAGATTCAGCAGAATCATTTTGTGACGGAAGCTCATGTGCCACTTTTGGAAAGGCTTGAAGGCCAGCCTCCTCATGGACTCATGGACTAAAAAGGGGTTTTGTCACTGTGGGTATGGGTATTGTGGCCTCACTTCCCAGACAGACTTAAGGAACCTAGCCTGGCCGGACTCGTTTTACACATCGAACGCCAGACCAGGAGATACCCTTGTCTACATACACAAGGACTGTGGGACTGTGCTGAGGTTCGGTCAATCTATAGGCAGGTATGGCTCAGTCCCCAGACAATAAATGGTAAGCTACCCCCTACATTCAGTCTCGACTAATGTGTGGAGGGAAGCAATAGTCACTGCTCTACAGGGGAGAAGGTGTCCTGAGCAATAATGACTGAGGCCTGGTCTGGTCTGATGAAAGAGGTCCTCAGAAACCCCAGTCAAGCCTCCTCGTCTGGGTCTGAAATGCTCCAGAGTCCCATGGTGGCAGCGAGGAAGCTGACAAGGCAGAGGTACTAAGTTGAAGTACAGGAGTTCCGTCACACCTTAAGCACATTGTGGTAAAATCATATTTTACTTTGTATTCTAAGTAAAAAAAAAAAGGCAGAACGCACCAAAAGGTAAGCCAAATCCCTACCTCCTTATGCTGTGCCACAACAAATTTCTTTGCACACCCGTCAAAAAAGAGTGTGCAAAGGAAACTTTCATATGTGTTTCATAGTCATATTTCATGTTTTTCTTTTTCTTCTATCTCCCATATTTACTTTCTCTCCATTCATTATCGATACTTGATACCGCTGAGTCCCCAGTTGCATTCTCTACCTCCCAACAGTCAAGATATAGTTCTATAGTTATAGTATATATAACATTGCCTTCCCACAGCAACAGAACAGCCACCGTTCTCCACAATGCCATTTTTCACAAGTCACAGCCCCAGCCATATTTGCCTACTTAATTGCTGTATATCAGTGAGTAGATAGAGGAAAAAGAGACAGTTTGGGAGAGATAAATGGAGACACACAAGCAGATAGACAGTAGCAGATTAAGAGAGACGAGCATACATACAAACTGAAAAATAGGAAAAGTAACAAATAAAAAGGCAGACAGCAAGCCTTACAAAAACAATTAGTGATACACATGCATGTGACAGACTCCTCCTGTGTTTCCTGATGGCCAGGAGTTAGAAAGTCAGACTGTAATAGGAGCTATTCAGAAAGGCTGGAGGAGGACCAATAATTATGGTGAACATGAACTGTGATGTATGTTATAACATGGAACATAGTTAGTGCTGGTCTTTTATAACAAACATAACTCTCTGGGTGCATACACTAATGAAATGTGCTGTCCCTGTTTATGGTCCTGTACATAGTCACAACTAATAAACAAACCTGAACCAGAAGTTGGACTGTGCCTCCAATGTTTACCCTGGTTGCCATGAGTGGTACAGTAGAGAGCCAGCCTACATGTTGGGGACATGTACAGTATGGGCAAACAATCCATTACACCTCCTGATGCAGAACTCACCAGAAGTAAGATGATCCCACCTCTACAGTACCCAATGGGATCCCTTATGTGCCAGCTATACCCACAGGTCTAAAATCTTCTATGTCCTTCTGTACCAAAGTATAAAAGGATGAACATTTTTGTAATGCAAAACTATACAAAGCCAGTTAAACCCAACCCTCCTCTTCTGCTCCAAATCTGTTTCTCACCTATAGGAGAAATAGTTATCCAGTAGGTCTATGGCCATTCCCTCTTTAAGCACATGAAATATCAGGTCTATGGAGATTCAGTAAACAACAGAAAATTAGCCTTACTGTTGCATATCAAAATCTTACGCATCATACTGAACCTGTTCAAAACAGAACTTCTGGTCTTCCCTCCCTTGTTGCTACTCCCTTGTCTGTGTCCCTCCAAGTCAATGGAGCTACCATCCGCTCTACCTCTAAGGTTCACTGCCTAGGAGTTCTCTGTGACTCTGACCGCTCCTTCTTGTGCATAACTTTCATCAGGACAAGAAAAAGTTTACTTTTACTTAAGTATAAATAAATTTGAGAAAACACCACACACACACACACACACACACACACACACACACACACACACACACACACTTCTCCTTATAGAAAGCATAATTACAAAGTAACACTGTCTTTAAAATTGTATATACGTCAACACAATACTTAGAATCTCCTGAATACTGCACTTATTATAATTGTGCTTTTAAGCACTTACATGCTCAAAAAATATATGTCCTAAGAACTAAAGACTCTCGTAAAGTTTGCATTAACTTTTAGAATCCATGAAGGCTTAAATGTAAGATTTATTTATTTTTTTAAATTACGTTTTAATAGGAGTTATTTTCTATCATTATTGCAACTGCACAACTTATATTTAATATTAGAAATTGTTAATGCAGTATAAATGAATAGAAATTAATGTTAAATTTGACAGTTATTGACCAGTGGGTATCCAGCATATTTAGTCTGTCTGCTTCTTAGCAAACTATAATTGATGAGGTTGTTAAAAATAACAACTATTCTGACAAATAGAAAAAAGATTAATAGCTTAATAGATTTCAGTTTTATTCGTATTACAGCAAACCTGTCACAATGGAAATGTGTTCCTTGTGGGGATAGCCATTTTGGATTGAACTGCGTCCTTTATTATCATTATTACCAATTTCATATCTACATACGTATGTGAAGTGAGATGAATGGAGCTCATTCATGACAAGTGAATAGCAGCATATTCAAAATGACACAAGAAGGCATACAGTGGAGGGATGTCTATATTGTAAAATTATGTTTCAATTAAAATATACTGTTCTACCCTTTAAGGATGCCAAGTGGGTGTTAAGCCGTGTGACAACAGGAGGTCACAATCATTCAGTAAATTTAATGTCCACCTGTTAGAGTGGAACTTTTATATCATGAAAAATGTCCTTGTGTTTCCGAGTTAACACATAAAATATACAATAAAACAAATGCAACTTTAGTGGTTTTGGTGTATAGATCATGCCCCTGAAGTCTCATTGTTCAATTCTCTGCAATTTATAAGTCACTCCTTAAATAGTGTCAAGGTATTGTAAGATGGATGAAGAGTTTGCCCTAAATCCTAGACATTAAAGGAACTATGTAGTCACTGTAACCATTTAGAAACATAGAAACATAGAATGTGACAGCAGATAAGAACCATTCGGCCCATCTAGTCTGCCCAATTTTCTAAATACTTTCTTTAGTCCCTAGCCTTATCTTATAGTTAGGATAGCCTTATGCCTATCCCACGCATGCTTAAAATCCTTTACTGTGTTAACCTCTACCACTTCAGCTGGAAGGTTATTCCATGCATCCACTACCCTCTCAGTAAAGTAATACTTCCTGATATTATTTTTAAACCTTTGCCCCTCTAAATTAAGACTATGTCCTCTTGTTGTGGTAGTTTTTCTTCTTTTAAATATAGTCTCTTCCTGTACTGTGTTGATTCCCTTTATGTATTTAAATATTTCTATTATATCCCCCCTGTCTCATCTTTCCTCCAAGCTATACATGTTAAGATCCTTTAACCTTTCCTGGTAAGTTTTATCCTGCAATCCATGAATTTCATTTCTTTGAATTGGTTTAAATGCCTGGCGTCCCCTGGCACTGTGCCTCCGTTAAGCGTTAAACCATTTTAGAGCAGTTTAACACTAAATAAAGGTCAGTCAACCTATTTGGCCTCTATTGAAGGTTTGGCTATGGCAGACATTACACACTTCCTCCCTTGTAGTCATATCCGCAGTTGGAGCACTGATAGGCTAAAAGCAATCAGCTGACACTCTCAGCCAATCACAGCTGTCAATTGCTGCTCAGGCAAAATACTTCCTCATTAGCCTGAGCAGCACTGATGGGATGGGCTGCTGGGGACTCTTGTATAGCATTATAACATAAAAATGTTAAAGACTATTTAATGCTGAATTAAATGATGGCACCAGGAGACTGCACACATTATAACAAGTTCAATGAGATGAAGCAGAGACATTGCCTAACCTATCCGTTAAGAAAAAGAGTGTAAAATGTAATGATAGAAGTAAGAGTAAGCAATGTAAATACATTTCTCTCCTTGTGGGACGTACTAGATAGGCATATAAATCATAACAAACTCCCATGCCTAAGTAAGTGAGGAGATGAAATGTTAAACACCCAACTCTGCAATATACATATAGGCTTAATGAGTCCTGGCCTTTTAATGCATTGGGTGTTAGTAGATCTCCCCTTAATTCCTGAGCAGCGGTAAAAAATGCAAAAGGGAGAAAGGTTACTGTCTAGAGGACCAGCATCACTAATAATCACAACTAGGACAGATAAAGTAAAGTAGAGAAAGCCTCTCTCTCTGTTAAACTTACTAAATAGGCATAGAAGAAAAAAATTGAAAGGAAAAGCTTAAATCATAACAAAAACGTGTGCCACACAGTGCAGTGAAGTGCCCATGTGTGTGCAAGTTAAAGTTGACCCATAGGAAAGAGCCTGACACGCGTTTCGGTGCAGAATATATGCACCTTTCGTATTTATTGTTTTTTATGTTTTTAACGTATTCATCCTCGTATAGCTTGTTATTAAGAGTTACAGAAGGTGCATGAAGGTTTCAATGAATGTCTTTGGTCAGGTTAATCTTTAAATGGACACTATAAACAGTTCATCTCACTGAAGTGGTTTAGGTGCAGCGTCCCCATCCTACCCAGTCATGCAGTGCAAATCATTACATGTTTGAAAGTCTCTAACAATGATATATGCAGCCCCTGTCAACTTTAACTTCAAACTATTCCTCAAGCAGACCTAGGATAATGTCAATATAAATAAACAGTTAACAGTTTCCACATCTGCTAAACATCATTGAACCATTCCGGCTATGCAGCAAGTTATCTAACCTACCAATACATGAAGCCAAAGGTGCACTTAATAAACCTTACATGGTATATGGTAAATGTAAATATCGACCCCCTATGAACAAAGGGCAAAAACAAAATAAGTAGATAGATAAAAATGCCAGCTAAGGAGATGATAGTTAATGGTCACCATAGTAAACCTAGACTTAAATTGCCCTAATAAGGGGGCCAGCCCACCATGCTGTGAGCAGTAATTCTCAATGACCCAGTATAGGATACAAAAGTACGGGCCAGAAGTATATGGTATAGGGTTCAATGGCCACAAAATTGTAAATCAAATTATACTGAGCCAAAGTACAGCCATATTTCTAAGTAAGTTTCAAAGTGCCCCATTATGGCTACATATAAAAGGCTGGGTAGATGCAAGTACAACATCTATCATATAGCTGAGCAGGACAGTCCCTATATATATAGAATTAGGATCCTAAGAAGCATAAAGAAGCAGTGCCATCAAAGACATTATACATGGTCAAGAGGCCTAAGGTGAAATTTATAATAGAGTAGATAAATGTTAATAAATCAGTGGGTAAAAAACAGATTGTATATAATCATACAAAGTTCCAGATAAACAATACAGAGGAAAAACAAATTCCGAGGATCTAGAGAAGCTAAGTGGATACATGGCTATTAACCAAAGCAATAATAAATTGGTGCGTGGTGCCCATATATACAGTGCCAGTCCTCAAAAGAGGGCATCTAATCTGAGATGAATGGGGTGTACGAGAAGCCTTCATTAAGGCCCAATAATGATAGGGTTCTTAAAAACAAAAGTGATGCATTTATAATTTTGTTCAGTGTAATTGGATTTTGTTATATTTATAAAAAAAAGTTCCCTTTCAATTTGAGTCTTATGTGATCCTTGTCATTTCCTCTGATGATATCTTAAAGTGATGCATATTCTTGCACTGACCTGACAGTTTCTTTCATGCCACAGTAATGAATATTGTTTTGAGTTCCATCGGGGTTTAGAGCATAATCGTTGTAAGAAGCTGAGAACCATGGACAATCAGTCATTTTGGAATGTTGAAAACTACACACATTTGCAACAGTCCAAGTTCATAACAGAAATAGGCCTTTTGTGTATATAGAAAAAGTCTTAGATGTTTGAGTTCAGCTCATGAAAAATGGGGGCAAAAACAAAAGTGTTGCATTTATAATTTTGTTCAGTGTATATACATCAAATCATTGGTAATCCAATTATTAATATAACTGTGAACATATTTTACAGTGCTGTGCTACTGCAACAAGGATCTTGTCAGGCATGGAACTAGTGGCAGTGTAGCCGGTGTGACTGCACCAAGGCCTCAAAAAGTCAAAGGGCCCTTCACAAGCACTATCGGGCCCTTTCTGGTCGTACTGGCACCCCCAATAGATTCCACCAAAGGAAACAAGGCTGCAGTGAAACACACTTGGGTTTAGGGGATATATTTAAAGTACTCACTGCCGATGGGGGAGCTTGACTCGGAGTGGGGGTGAGTGAATCTCTTTGTGCATCAGTGTATGTATCTGGGCATGCATGTAAGTGTTTGTGGATCTGTGTGTGAATCTATGCGTGTGTGTCAGTATATCTGTGCATTTATATCAGTTTGTGTATGTGTATATTTTAGAGTGCATCTGTGTGTATCTGTCTCTTTGCATCTGTCTGTGGCAGTATTTGTCAGTTTCTGTGCGTGGTAATGTGCATCTTTATACGTGGGTGGCAACATATGTGTGTGTGATGTTAGTGATTGCATGCAGGTTTGTATATACACCCCTGCACTCAAACACTAACACTACACACAAACACACCCTTGCATTCAAACGCCAACACTATACACAAACACACCAACCCAAATGGTCCTGTGTTCAAACACCAACATAACACTCAAACTCCTGCATTTAAATACTAACACTGAAAAAAAAATCACCACTGTATTCAAATGCCAACACTACGCACAAACATACCACTGTATGCAAATATCTACATTACAAACAAAGCCCTAAATTCAAACACCAATGCAAAACACAAATACATTCCTACAATTGAATATCAGCATTACACATAAGCTAGATTTACACACATATACCATGTAAAACTACACCTGCATTCACATGCAAACACTGCGCATAAATACAACTCTGCAAGGATGGCAAAGATTCGTAGGAGATGTATGACAGTTGAGGATCTGCTTTTGGCCACACCTTGTCTATAGAAGGGCCCCACATTTGTTTTTGCACCAGGGCCCTCTCATCACAAGTTCTTCATGATAGAGAAAAATATAAAATGGCTTAAATGATTTACTTGCAGAAAATTGTGAACATTGTCAATGGTTGTGTCAGGCACTGGACAGACTACATGTATCAACAATGTCTATCCTTGGCGACATATATATTAGTCAAATACAAGTCATATGATACAATGCCAGCATAGATTTTTTCAAATAATTGGTACACATTGAGAACATAAGTACACATTTTAGTGATCTGCAATTACTCCTATGATTGGTGTTTTATGAATATATTTCATTGTATTTTACTCACAATATATTATTGCAATTACCTGGTAATGCAATGTTATACTTAGAACAACATCTTATTTAAACCACATATATTGAAATCATTGTCTATCAGTCCTGGACAAGAAAATGAATGTCTCTCTGATATACACACAGATTCACAAGTGTCAAAATGTGTTAGATGTAGTAATGATGAACAACCAAACAAAATTGAAAAGACGGAGGATCGGCTCTTTCATAAAGCAGTTAGAAATAAGGCTATAAGCTAGGCTTGATTTAAATTTGTTTCTAAAATGGTTTAGAAATATTTTTCTAATGTAACATGAAGGATGCATATTTTAACAAACTGAATTTCTTTAACTGCCTACTGACCTTGTCAGTTACTAATATTCATTATAAATTGTAATATTTCTGTAAATTGGTTACTACATTTCAATTTGACAATATATGCTTGCATTTGGTTTGCCTTGATGTAGTTTTATGTATACGTCCTATCTTCGTGCATTGTCAAGTGAATGCATACCAATTAGGTGTTTTTCTTAAATCAGTTTGTGTCTTTGTAGAACCCTACCTATAGTTAATTGGTCTCCTAAGTGCTGGTTATTGCTCTTTACCTCTTCTGTTTTTTACCCATGCGTTGTCTCCATTTGTGTAAGAGGAATTTTACTTAGTGGTAATTTATATCTTATATAAAAAAATGAAAGCTTTTGTATTTTACTACAACTACACTTTGGGTCTTTTAATAGCGCACAGACTATGAAGCTCAGTCAGCTAGAGCCATGTGTTCTTTTATGTAGGCAATACATCCATTATATAGGCAATGATATAGGCGTGAAGCTATGTGTTCACCTTTACACTGGAACCCTTGGACATTTGCATATAATATGTATTATGTGTTCACCTTTACACTGGAACCCTTGGACCTTTGCATATAATATGTGTTATGTGTTCACCTTTACACTGGAACCCTTGGACCTTTGCATATAATATGTGTTATGTGTTCACCTTTACACTGGAACCCTTGGACCTTTGCATATAATATGTGTTATGTGTTCAACTTTACACTGGAACCCTTGGACCTGTGCATATATTATGTGTTATGTGTTCACATTTACACTGGAACCCTTGGACCTTTGCATATAATATGTGTTATGTGTTCACCTTTACACTGGAGCCCTTGAATCTTTACATATAAAGGGAACAGCTTCACAGGCTTGGAAAACTGGAGGATTTGGTCAGGAAGCCTCTGGTATATACCAAGATAACAGACCATAGCATGATTGGATGTGGTGGGATGAACATTATAGACAACAGACTAGCAGTCATTCGAGTTGATTTGACTTGACTTGCAAGTGACTTGTTAGTGATTTCTAAAGCAGCTCCTAGAGTGAGTACTGAGACTAAACAGGGACAGCGCATAATGTGACTAGTGTTGGTTGGTGCTACTATGCCTGAAAATGTCTAAATGGGTAACCATTGAACACAATGAGCCCATCCACACTGGGAAGTAAACTAAGAATGTTGAGCAAGCTGTAAAACAGTCTGTGTGGGCCAAAAAACAGCCACATGGATGGTTAGAAATACAGGTTAGACAGACCAAGAAATCTACTAAATGGACTGGTCCATTGAATGACTGAACAAGTAAGGTAATACTTTCAAGAATTGCCTTCAAAATATGCAGGCACATACATTGGATGGACCATATAATAAATAGAAAAAAATAACACTGTATAACAAAGGAGTTATTGTGTGTAGTAAACTATTATAAATAGAACTGCAAAAGTGAATCATATTAATGGTATGCATCAGCTATAAACAAGTTAAGCCTTCTAACATTTCTATATGGATTTTAAACAAAATGATTCAAAAATATTGTTCCAAAGTGGGCACATAACCACATCTTAAGTTGCAAGTGCATCATAAAAAGTACAACACTATTTAATGTGTCAAAGAAATGAATCTCACATATAATGTCGCGTGCAACAGACACAAGCAAAATGTATTGTTAGAGAGTACCTTTGATCACAAGTCAAAGCTTATCGAGAGGGATAGATGGACATTTCATAGGCAGAAAGTTTGCTAAATGCCACCTAACTGCAGACTCAAAAATTAACGCAAAACTGATTGACTGATTATACAATGGTAAAAAGCTTAAAGGTATAACAGCCATTTTTCAAAAACAGATTGAATCCCAGGCCAGCACACAAAACCCATCTAGTGTAAGGAGTACATAACTTGGACCCCGAAGAAATTGAAAAAGTGGCATGCTCTGATGATTTATCTTTAACACAGGTTTCTTCATTCGGACAGGTATGGATTTGGAGGAAACCAAACTATACTTTACACACTCTTGTCATCTGCACACAAAAGCCAACTAGTGTAAGGAGTACATAACTTGGACCCCATAGAAATTGAAAAAGTGGCATGCTCTAATGATTCATCTTTAACACAGGTTTCTTTATTCGGACAGGTATGGATTTGGAGGAAACCAAACTATACTTTATACACTCTTGTCATCTGTTAGGGGAATCTTTTTGTACTTAAAGGACTACTCTGGGCACCTCAACAACTTAATTGCAATTAAGTTATTATGGTGCAAGGAGGCACCAGGTGTGGTTTATCTTAAGGGGTTAAACCACTAACAAACAGTTTAACCCCAAACTCTGGAAAACCACACCTAATCCCTCTGCCTCTCTACTTCCTTTTTTGGTTAGAGGCATCAATCAGCAATCAGGAAAATAAGTATCTTCTGTTTTATAAATGAGGATCTAGTGATAGGCTGAGACTTGATTAAAGCCTTAGACCAAGAAAAGAAGTAGAGGAGCAGAGCAACCAGGAACCATCTTACAGAGGGGTTAAACCCTTAATGAATTATTTAACCTCTTAAGGTAATAGGTCGCCCACAACCTCCTCGCACCAAAACAATGTAATTGCAATGAAGTTGTTATGATGCCAAAAGTGTCCTTTTAAGGTATAGTTTGGGGTCCAAATAGCATTTGGAACCATCTTATAAGAATCAATAGTTCCACTGATTTCTATGCTTGGAATATTAGGCTATTCATAGGACTAGGGCCACCATTGGTGCAAACCCTTTTGAACTCATGACATTTACACTTTCCAGTTTAATACATGTTCCTAAACTAATTAAAATTTGGATTCATGAACAGAAGGATAAAATGAAGCAATTTCTATGACTTTCCTAATCAAAAGATTATGATACTCTAAACACAAATACATTTTATTATGCCTGTTAATAAAAAAAAATTCCAGCACCTATACATTCGCCTATCTGCATTCGCCAACTACCGCAACAAGAGGACATAGTCTTAAATTAGAGGGGTAAAGGTTTAAAAATAATATCAGGAAGTATTACTTTACTGAGAGGGTAGTGGATGCATGGAATAGCCTTCCAGCTGAGGTGGTAGAGGTTAACACAGTAAAGGAGTTTAAGCATGCGTGGTATAGGCATAAGAAACTTAGAAACATAGAATGTGACGGCAGATAAGAACCATTCGGCCCATCTAGTCTGCCCAAAAGGCTATCCTAACTATAAGATAAGGCCAGGGACTAATGAAAGTATTTAGAAAATTGGGCAGACTAGATGGGCTGAATGGTTCTTATCTGCCGTCACATTCTATGTTTCTATGTTTCTATGTTTATGGAATTTTCTTACGCCTTACGATCTTGACAAGGAGTGGAGCTTAAAGCAAGTTCCACTTCCTTTGTTGTCTTTGTCAAAGGAAGTTGATTGTGACTTATGCTCCACCCTTTGTCAAAATTGTCAAGTATAGGAGGATACTAGAGGAGGGGCTAGAGAAGAAGGAGCATGCTGAATCATTGCATTATGAATAAAAAATAAATTTAGGCAGAAAAATAATTATTTTACTGTGGAGTTAACTATTTCCTCCTGCCTTCTCTCACAGTTCCTGGTTTAGTGAGTAAATTATTTTATAGACTTCTAAATAATTGTTAACTATATAAACCAACAAAAAAACTTTGAGAAGTAATTTCCGTAGGCAACGAAACCTTTCCACATTTACTGCTCCCTTATCCAGTTATAGACAAGAACTGATCTCACTCAGAGAAAATAGAAATGGCACAAAATTTGATATGATTAACATTTCACTTTTTGCGTTTTTTTGTTCTTTGGAAAAGGGCTGGCATTCCTAATATTAGATACTGAAAAATATACATTGTATTCACCTTGCAAAGATGAAAAAGCACCTTTAATGTTTTTCAACTAAGATTCTCAAGTATTGTAATTTATGAGAACATTATTGTTAACATGGTATGCTTAACATTTTGTTAAGCATACTCCCACATTATATAAAATAAGTTTTATTTAATTATTGTGTAAATTCCTAATTACCGGTATGTAAATATGTCAGCATGGTTCATTAAATAGAGAAAGTCTATTTTGGGATCTTTTACTAATTGAAGTCATGTCCCATACAATGGTTTTCAGGCATTTTACCAACGTAATGCATAATAGAAAATGATTGGTTGATGTGAGTGAGTACGGCTTCAGAAGTCACAAATTTGTTTCTTACTCATGGCATGTTCAACTTGGAAGCTTTTCATACTTCCAAGGTTTGGTATAAAATAAAACCCATCTAACTACTAGGCTGTACTTATGACAACAATTATATTTCCTTGTTAAATACTTTGATAGTATTAGACTTATTAAGAATTTAATAGCTTTAAATCATTTGTCACCTAGTTGAATGTAGTATCGTCTTGTTTGATGGACAGATGAAAAAAAGCATCAGAGTATGTTAAAGGGATTATACAGATGTCTTGCAATATGTGACTCTCAGGGTAGAACATTATATGTACCTTAATATTAGTACATGGTTGGAACCCTATATGCACAATGACTTTGTGTCCACCACATATGTCATATTTGTCTACTGCCCACGGGATGATGATTACCTGAGGGCCAAGCATGCAAGCACAAAGACTGTCTGGGCAGTATATATCTCTTTTCCTTGGTCCATTGAAATTAAAGCCATTATATTATGTCAAGTAGAAGAGAGCTATGTTGATGAAGACAGAGTTCTCCTGCTTTTTTGCTAGACCATCAAGAAAAGGGAGTGGTGATGCAACTGCCCCTTGTTTAAAACTATTACTATGCCAGTGCCACACATTTTGACTGGAAAAGAAGACACATCTGGGGTTGTTAGTCCATCAGTTCTTTTGTGTCTTTCATAAAAAAACTTGGTTTTGCCAAAGTGCCTCATTTTATGGAAAACGAATATGAAGCCTGTAGTAAGACAAGATCCGAAAGATTAAGAATGACTGAACTAGTCTTGTTGTTTATTGCTGACAAAAACATCTCAATTGTTTTTGCAGTTCACCAGCTAATCCTGTTTTGAAGACAATGCTTCTGGTTTGTATTTGCTTAGTTGCAAAAAAAGGTTATTAAATATCTTTCTACAGGCGCATTGATAGAATTTTGTACTTGAGAAGTGAGTCAATGCCACATGCTGACTGCACTTTAAATAAATATATTTGCCTCTGAATTGACTTCCTCTGCCTGTGTGATACAAGTTGGTTATCTCTGTTTGCAGCTTAATGAAAATACATCTGAAGAAATCTGAAGAAATAGAAGCATCTGTAATTGTGTAAGCATACGATGACTCCTTGCAAGCACTTTCAATTCCAATATGTTCCACTTTGATAAAAAGCCAAACACTGACCATTCCTAAAGACAGAAATCTTATCACTCGTAGGCTCTCTTCCAGGCCTTCTATCTTGACTGTGGCTTGCTCGATAAATTAATACTTTTTAAAAATGTTTAAAGTCAAGGAGTATAGAGGAATCAAAAAACACAGATAAATCAGAACAGCAGCCCAGGGCTGGATAATGCGTAAAAATATGCAAAAGTAGTAAATACATTTAAAGAGAAAAAAAATAACAGCTTCTGCACTCGGACATGCACATGTCAACAGAAGAAGTAGTCTGAAGAAGGATCTGTCAATCAGGAGCATCTTATTTTGGTCTACGGACTTCATCCTATCTAACAAATCAATATTCAGCAGAACTTCATGTGCTACATAATGATTCCTGCTTACATAATGATTCCTGCTGGGACTACCTACCCAATGTTTAACTTGAAGCCCTGATCATACACTTCAATGAAAATGGTACAGAACAAATAGTAGCCATGGACTGAACATTCTATAAATTAATTCCTAACCTCATTACATTATGAAGATTGTCAAGTAGACTGCTGGTACCTGTGTAATTTTCATTAGCCCCATGATGTGGAAAGGTGGCCCCACTTAAAACTATTAGCTATTCCTATATTTTCCTTAGGGTTAGGGAAGAATGAATATATACATATTATTTTCAGAATTTGCCCTGGCAAAAGGCAGTTGTCACAATTTTTTTTATTATTGTTTAAAATAAAACATTAATTGTATTAGATCATTTGTGTGTAGTATTTTGTGATGTATACATACATGTATATGTCTTCTTTCATGCCCTCTAATGATTTTCCACTTTTTCTATGGGGCAGCCATCTTTAAGTTGTTGTTTTTGTCAGGAGCACAGTTTATCTCAAAACCACACTCAAGTGATCAAGAATTAGTGTAGATTCATGAATCTTTGAATCATGAGCACATACAAGATATCTTAGAAATGCAACCTTGGACTGTTTTCTTATCTTCAAGTAGTGACGTTTCTGACCAAATACGGCTAAAGACGACTATGCCCATGGAGCGATGGTAATCCAAGAGAAACACCAAAAATAGTTTTAAAAAAATTATATAAATAATATTAATTACCAAATAATTTAAACAGAGGTAATATTACAATATTATACAATTCCCAGGGGTACCACAATGTTTCCAGACGTTTCAGCCATGGTACTGTGCACCGGCCAACCAATATCTGCCAAGTATGAGCACACTCACTGGTCTTAACATTGCAGGAAAATATAGTTTAGGCTATATTACACGCAACATTTTATTTTCCGTAATAACAAAACATTATTACAGTTTTCCTTTAAGTATTTCAAGGTAGACACTGAACTAGGAGGACTCACACATCCCTGCAATTAATTTCAACTTTGAGATTACATGTTGCATTAATAATGTGATCAACACACTTTTTGCCCTGGTAGTCAGCTAATGGCGAGATGAAAATTTGATTTATAATATGTGATGTGTTTCTCTAATTTGTTAAAACAAATCCCTAATTCCTCTAGAGTATGGAGAAAAGTTACCAGGCAAATGTACTCCTTCAATTAGTTCTTGAAGGCCACTATTATATGTTCACAATCTTGAACATGATTGGTCAAACAAATTTCATATAATAAGAAAGTAATTCACATAATATTATACTATAAAGTTGTACATCCGTAATAATATGTAAAGATGAACTCATGCTTACCGAGATCTAGGGATGTTTTCTGTGCTTTCTCTCCACCAAACGTCTGACAGCATTGCCTCTGGGTTTGACCTCTTCCCATACCTGTTAAAGATGTTACATTACATTTTTAAAATATTTTTGGCATTATCTTCTTTTCAGTTTTAAAATGGTATCCACTGTCTACTGTTATTTTTATTAGTATTTGTCAAATGAAGCAGACTGAAAATAACAGAGTATTTTATCATTGCATATAATGTTTTATTGGACAGAATTTTGGTTAGAAATCATCGTTGCCTTAAAAGAAATCTTGACATACCATATTGTAAAACATTTACTGCATGGAAATACCATAGTTCGAGGATGTTTAAGATATTCTGAATTACACTGCATATAACAAACTCCAAGAAATATATCACACCGTGGAAAATACTGCAGCGTTTTTCAAATGAATGATGTCTACACTAAAATGCATTCTGAAGATCTATACTAAATCACGTAAAATACACTAAATCAATCATATTGTTAAGGGTAGAAAATTTACAATAAATTATTTATGTTAATATGTTTATATACAACATCTGTTTTAGTTAACACTGTTATGTTGTATTATGAATACAATAAGCGCAAGCTAAACTTGTTGCATCAGAAACTAAAATGAATCACCCGGGGATGTATAGGGGATGGCTTAGAAAAAATATTCCGATGCACTATGATTCTTACAGACTTAAATATTGCGAACCTCTACAATGATAAATATCATCTTGGTACAACCATGCCGGGAACAAAAAGACATTGTTTTGTAAGTTGTAAATCTTGCTTGTGAAATTCACAAGACAGTTGGAATTTACTGGATATAACAAGCCATGAATGAATGCTATGATCCAACAATAAAATTCTTTCTGCAGATTATATTACAAAAGTTGTCATATCTATTAAATTGTGCACCAATATAGGTAGAGAGGTGAGATTTATGGCAAATCCTTTACTCTAGCAGCAGGCTCTATAAAGTGACCAAATGTAACCTTTTCTGTTTCAGAGATGTAAGCTCAGCCAATAGAATTATTAATACTCTTAATATACTAACACAGAGATGAGACAGGTTTATCTTCACTTGAGATAGAACTACATTAATCATTGAACTTTAGTGATCTGTGCTCACCCCTAAAGTTCCAAAATAATAATTGTTTTCAATTCAATAATATAGATGATAATAATATAGGTTTACCTTGGCGTGGGAGACAGGTGTCTTACTTATAAGATCTAGGTGTACTGCACTCATCCCTTTAGCACTGAAAGGATTACTAGTCTTCATGCAATAACATAGGAAACATAAAGGTATATCTTGATTTGAGAAAACTCTCCCTCTTACATATTACATTTTGCTTCATTGAGCTCAACAGTTTTGAACTGAAAGGATTATTTGTATTCAGACAATAACGTAGAGGCTAGAGAGGTTTATATTGACTTGAGTGAAATCTGACTTATTAGATCCTAGAATATTGCTTAAAGCACTACATGTTAACATAGGACCTCTACATCTAACTTGCAGTAGAAAAAAGTCCTGTTAAAGTCAACATAAGATAAAATTAGATTTTAATGAGATTTTCTTTGTAACAGGTAATATTTATCATTTGATCGGTGAAAGTCAATCAATTCACCTGAAGTGTGAATTGTTTACTTTAGTGTGGTGTGCAGTGGAGGTAAGTAGACATCCACATACCTTTGCTGCAAATCCAAATGATTGTACCACCATCTTCCTATGATGCTCTAAGCATATAGACCATCTTTCAAAGGTACTATGCATGTGCATAAACACATTGAATGTATAGATAAACGGGACTTCATCAATTAAAAAAAACAAAAAACTAGTTGCCAAATCTTAATTAGCAATGGGAATATGCATTATACTCTGAGGCAACAGTTACTCTTTAAGAAAAATTAATCATTAGTCAAAAAGCCATGAAAACCTAAAAACCCCCAAAAGAGAATTTTATATGTAATATAGAATATTTTGTATGTATTATATTATTTTTATGTGTAACTGTTATCTGGTTAGATAGAAGGAGATCACACCATGGATGTTTATTAGAGAGTCAATTAGCAGTTACGTGAACCAGAGCTGATTTAAAATGTGTTTAAAATGGTGTGAAAATATTGATGGCTTGTCATTAAGATCATTTTTCTTTTATTATACTCTGTAAATACCTCAAGCGACCTTGTAAAAGAGCCTATACAATCCGAAAAAGGCAATCCTCTGTAAAACTAAGCTTTCAATGCATTTAACCACTTAAGGACCAAACTTCAGGAATGAAAGGGAATCATGACATGTCACACATGTCATGTGTCCTTAAGCGGTTAAACTGAATACATTGCCATTAAAAATGGTAAGAATTCAATCTTCTAGTCAAAAAAATGTATCAATTCTGTTGGGAAAACGATGCTGTCGTTAGGCACTACATACTAATCAATGATCAGCTTTACATGAATCGCTTTCTTAAACAGCTTACTGATAAATATGAAATGTAAAAAATATAACAAGATATATATATATAAAATCTTGTATTATGTATCTAATAATTTCCAATATATGTCCAATATGTTGTTTTATTCTTATAGTCAACAACAAAATCATATCCCTTCTGTAATTTAGTAGAACACGTAGTTGATTCTATAATCTCACTTCCCAATTCTTCTTTGATTTTCACTTATTAAAGATTTTGAAGTCATATGCCACATCATAACTCTTGTTTGAATGGTTTATATAACTGGCACTTTAGATGTTGAGATTTTTGAACACTGAAGTCTGATTTGCTTTATCAATGCAAGAAAAGTTAATACACAGAGAGCAACAGTCATCTGTAGAATTTATATTCTCTCTTATGCTTTATTTAATTGAGAGTTGAGTACCAAAGGAACATAGACATTGTCTCTATATTGTTATATTGGGGAACATTGGGAGTATATTGACTAAAAATATAAAATACAGAAGGGACAAGTAGAACCTTTTTTTCAAGAAGATGAAACGAGTTCTCTTCTAAATGTTAACTTTATAACTTTTCAACTCTGTAAATTGACCAGGCTTCACTCCATACTCTATTAAAAGGCTAAACAGTGATCAGTCGGCAAAATACTGCATTCTTTCTTTTGCTAATTCATCTTTGGATTCAACAGTGTGGCTGTTCACATTAATGGTTTTCATTTATACATTTTAATTGAATTAATTGTTGCCTTCATCATGATCATAGCTGAGGAAACCTCATTTATTTCTTAGTACAAAATATTCCCTTGGGACATATTTATTTGGGTTTAAACAACGCTGTTCTAAAAAAATATAAATTTTTACATATTTTTCATGTTCCTGTGTATTTTAAATGCAATATCTAGGACCTGTAAGATCCGTTATTGGAGTTTACTTAACATATAAATCTAAAGATGCAGATACACATACATGCACACAATCATGCAGCAAGCACTACCAATCAACACACATTTTGCATCAATAAACTGTATTGAAGCATTTTCTAGTAAGCATCTAGATTATCACTCACAGAAGCAGCCGTTTTTGTTCTAAACATTTTCTTTCTGTTACTTATAGAAAACATACAAAGGATAATTACAGTTATGTACTGTAGTTTGTCAAATCTACAAATTGCATTCTATGTCTATATTATCCCAGCTGCAGAACAGTTCTAGTGCCATTTAAAAGTTAACATATCAATTAAGCATGCAAAGTACTGCTTTTGTGAGATAATGAGACTGGAAAATATATAGCTGTAAAAAGACATGGCTTGACATGTCTATTATTTATACAATAAACCAATTACCAATCTTTGACAAACTGTTCTTTCAGTAGTTGTCAGCAGTCAAATGCAAGGTATAGGAAAACAGTATTGCATTATGTGCATTTGGGCTCATATAATTATATTACATTCAAAACAAGTGTATATAAGAATATTATGTAGGTTAACATGGTATTTAATATAGGAGTTGGTAATTTAACACAAATCAATATTTCGGTGTAAATTCAATATAAACCATTCTAGATTGTGCAAAATACTTTGCAAGTTTCCTATTAAGAGAGCGAGATGAGCCTCTGATGTTGCTGTATTTTTCTTTGCTTACTATCTTTAATTTCTTGCAAGGTTGCCATCTCTGGCAATCAAGAGGTTAAGCCTGATTTTGGGTATTTAAGTGGCAGAACATTGATTGTATAAGATGAAGACACCGCTACAATATATACTTAGTCTGTCTTCTGAATATATTTCTGATTATTTGCTAAGGAGTTAAATTCTTTAGGGGGTGATTAGCTTCCACTGGGATGCTCTGTCAGTATGTTTCTCTCTATGATGGGTTCCCTGTAGATTTGAAAAGGGCTTAGTTTAACGTTAAAGATTATTTCTCACCATGTCTGGTGCTTTCAGGCAATTCTGATTTTCCAGTGTGTGCCATTTGACTCTGTATTTTTTAATCAACTCAAAGCAGCGTTTTGCGATCACTGTGTCATGCTACATCTCATTAAACCATATCTGTGACTTTGCCTCAGCACTTCAACCTAATCTGCTCAGAATGCTGGACACCTCATTGAAGCATGATAGAACCAGTACAGTTTGTATTTTTTTCTCTGCTGTGGAGCAATATTTGCTAAAACCTTGGTTTTCCGAGTAATCATCACCAATTTTACAAAACATCCTTTACCTGTTTGCTCTCCATAGATATAAAAAAAGGCAGGCATGCTAACAAAGAAAGTGCATACCTATTAATCTTAGTATTTTGTCCTAAGTAAAGCAGCAACAAAATGTGAATTTAATAAAATGTTTATGTAAATAATAATAATTTTACATTATATATCAAAATATGTCTACAACATCTAATAAAACCTGTCTAATAAAATACCTATCTGTAATTACAATGGTAATTATGTTGGTATATAATGTTAAGGTTAATTATTTTGCTGATCTGGCTAAAAATTAATTTTTTTGCATTCTTAACAACTTATTTTTTTTTAGCAAATAATTATTAGATAGGTCTTAATTCAGGGATATATTTTCTACACTTCTCATACTTTTTTTGTTTGTGAGATGCCTACACCTGTTAATGTTGCTATCAAATAATTAAACTACTCATTGATTTGTGTGTGCATCGCAGAGCAAAGTGACCGTACAAGTCTCTGACCACTATAAAATTAAGGATGCAGTTCTAAAGATTTTGTTGTAAATATTTTACTGTCGTTCCAAAGCAAATGTTCGTTTCCTACCTCTGTCTTGTTATGAGGTTGATATAGTGCCTCAATGCAGAGTAATATTTAGCCATGTCCTCTGCAGGAGCGTCTTCCCCTGGGTTGTCTGGTTTTGAAGGGTATGCCTCTGCAAATGTGCCCAAGCATATCAGCAAAGACAGACATACAGTCAGTGCAGACATCCACAATCTCATGCTTCCCTGCATCTGAAAAAAGAAATACAAAGAAATCATCATTATACTGCCAGTACATCGACACAATATATAAAAAAGTTTGAAAATGGCAAAACTGGATAGTTATTTCTATCCTAATTCTTGTACCGTTAGCCTTCTCTGTTTTAGTGTTATAACAAACAAAAACTAGAAGCATTACAAGGAGTGCACCTGGTTCATTGCAAGCATGTTAATCATTTAGTGACTTAGATATTTTGAATTTTGTTTTGCAAGTTCTTTATTTAAGTTGTTTTTCCATAATGCCATCATTTCTGTTTTTAATCTAATTAATAAACTGCACATATAGTACTTATTGAACATTAACTCTGATTTTGTAAATTACTTCTTAAATCCTTTAATCCAGTTGTTGGACTTTTAAAACATTATATATTTGATGTTTGCATTTCCCCATTTAAACAAATGCAAATCACACGAAAGCACATGACAGAAACCTTTCTTAAAGTTGGTAACGTTACTGCAAATAATCAATAACATAGAAGATTTTTTTTTTTAAAGTATGCAATTGTTTCCCTCCCCACCCCCCCAAGATAAATCAATATGGTACCAATGACGTTTTGGAAGTAAATTTAAAAAGTTTATTTTAAACCTATTTTAAAAATACTTTAAAACAACCAATATCAATTACTAATTGCTAATTTCATTCTCATATAGTTTCCTAAATTCCATAAGAGATTGTATAGTAAAATGATGAAAAAGTAAATCAATGAATTAAAATAACAAAATAAAACAAATATTACACAGAACATAAAACTGCAGTAGAACACAGAGGTACATAGAATGAATTTCAGCACCTGGGAGCTGTTCAAATAAAGTAACATTCTAGACTCTTAAGCTGGATGACAGAATAAATAGTACTTACATTAGAATCTATAGACTGTAGTTCACTATTTTCTCTTTTCTTCAGATTCTGCTGGCTTCCTTTTTTTCTGCAACTCTCTTTCTGCCTTCACTGTAATTAGTATTAATCTGCCTTTATCTGTTCTCCCCGAACACCAGCTTTTGTCATCTCTTTGCCATGCTGTGGCTTTTATATTCTCTTTCTCTTGCAGGAGGGGCCTGGGGTAATCGTGTCTTACTGACTCCAAATCATACATCTCCTCCCTGCACTGAGGAAGACTTACGTCACAAATAAGTTAGACCTGACTGACAGGGGTCATGTTGAAAGGAGTGCAATTTGCCTCTTATTCTTCAAAGTGTCAAAATGAATTGTGCAGATGAAGACTGAAACGACATATTCAAAACGGATATGTAAAACATAAAACAAAACAAAATATATATGATATTAATCTTAAAAATATATATCGTGAACTTGAAACAATGATCCACATGTATCTAATATTGACAATATGTGTGTGGTGGTGGTGGCGTTTTTTGTTTTTTTTCCATTGCGCAGTTCGGTAGCCATTTCAAAATTCCCCAGTAATTTGTGACTCCCCCCTTTTCTGATGATTAGCATTTTTTGCAGCTGCAAGAGAGAAAAACCTATTACTTTTGCATAGCTCACACAAACCGACACGTATAGACTATGACGAGTCTCTGACTCATCAGACTGAAACTGGAAGGTTTGACTTGGAAAATGATTCATTTTGAACTCCGTGGTGGAACAGGGGTAAGGATGTCTAAACCATTTATAGATTGCATCTCTAAAGAATTCATTCTGTTGGAGATGTCTATGAGCCACATGAAATGTTCTGAGCAAGTTGATGGGATACCAAGCTTTGTTCTACAAATAAACCTGCCTCACGCTTTACATCACAATATATTAAAATGTCAAGCCATTAAATATTTTATGTATTTTATTTTCAGACATATTTATTTACTGCCTTGTCCCTATCTCTGACATAAGACAAGGCATAAACCATAAACTAGAGCACATCTAAACTTCTTTACTATACGTAGGTTCTATAGTATAAACTGGCAGCAATTTATTGCTCATCTACAGTGGCACAACTAGTGGTTAAGAGTTGTGTATTTAAATCAAATGCTTTGGCCCCTAACTCTCCATCTGCACACAATTTATACATTCCCTATCCCTAGGAGACAGGCCTTTTGGTGTAGAGACTGTGATTCCATGTAAAATGTGGAGATTTGAGCCCCCCAGGTAGATCTGATAGCTCTTCCATACTATCATGCTTACGCTATCGTTTTCTTTTTAATTGCTGATTATGTTCCATGTTATAATATGATGTCCCTGGTCCTTATGTATAACAAAAAGGAACACTGATTACAATCTGTGCAGCAAGGGACACAGATCTCTTGCTCCCCATGTTGATCAACAGTGTTAGGTGAGGTTGTTAACACAATTGCAGGGCAAATGCCATTATTGTTATGTCAGGGCTTGACTATATGTAGAATAAACATATTTAAAATTTCTATAAACCACTCCGTTTTCTGTTATGGCAAATTATGTGTAATATAAGATTACTTTAAGAGACATGCTTGAAAAAGCAAGTTTTCCCACTGTTCTGTTTCAGTATACATCTGTTTGTAACGTTTGAAATGATTTATGTTTGCGCTTGTGCACATTGTTGTTTGTGCTCACTGTACAGTGTCATCGTTTTTAGCAACTTATAGGAAAACTGTAATTGATGAGACTTTTGCACAATCCAATAGCTAACTAAAAGTTAGGGAACCTTTCTAGCGATATTCACCAAGCAAATATGTTACAGTTTGCTAGGATGATTGAACAAGAAACTACCACTTCTAGACAAGTTACGACCCCTTTTTATGGATAATCTAATAATTTAGGAATTTCAAGATTTTGATAGCATTACATGTGTTACATGCAGAGTGTGAAAGTTTCAGTTGAAAGAGTTTTAATGATGCAATTCATAATAGCTCAAGTGATAATACAACATACTTAACGGAACATACTATATTAATATAAAATATTTCTTATAACTTGTATTTTTAAGAAATACTTTGTGATACCATTACTAATCTGGGATTGGTAAAATTTAATATGAGAGCCAAAAGGTCCCTTTTGTGATAATATTTTGTCCTCTCTCGCAGCTTAGGAGCCTGGCCCTATTTGTTTATATCAATACATTTCTCTAATCAGTAAAACCTACTTATAGTTGTAACTATGCTATGACAATTCTTTCCAATTCAGCTGGTCCTTAATTTTTGAAATTCATTTTGGATTCTTAATTAAGTAGATAACCCCTTTACGGTTTCCTGAATAATCTCCATGTATTTCCTTTTATGTCCCTATTTGACCTCCCAGCATCCATATTGCCTGTATTCAATCGTTATCCTTGTCTGTAGCCAGGTTAATTTCAGCAGGAAATAGTAGCAGTCTCACTTTAATATAATTCAGGGCTGAAGCAGAGCCAAATCAGAGCTCTACCTACACTACTGAAATGTATAGACTGCTATCTTGTGTTACAGCTGCATATGTGGTGATTGAAATGGAGGGTTAGTTAAGTGAGTGAAGATCCAAATCAGGAAAGAGTCTCCATAGAGTTTAGGAAGCGCCTCTCAAAACATTTGCTAGTGCTAAGTATAAAAGAAAGTGAATTTCCATTAGCAGGGTCATTGAGGAGGGAAGGGAGAGGAGGCTGGCAGGTCTTGGAGTCCTGGGTTGGGCCCTGAAAAGTCCTGGGTCTAATTTTGGCACCATTTTATTGTTAGCTTTAAAGACCAGTTTGGGCACCATAGCAACTTCATAAGCCAATCATTGACTGCCCATTAATAAAGTCAGACACTGGGGTTAAACATTTGAGAATGGTTTAACCACAAAAGGCGAGCCACCACCAGGGACCTCCTGGCACCTTAATAACTTAATTTTTACAAAAGTTGTTATGGTGCCTGGAGTGTTCCATTAAGTTCCCCGTAATACTGAATGAGAAACAATACCTCCAATAATATAATTTGTGACAGTGCCACTTTCATGCACCATATTTTCAGTTAATTGTACAGCACCGTCTAGGGCAGGGATAGGCAACCTTAGGCACTCCAGTTATTGTGGACTACATCCCCCATAATGCTCTTACACCTATAATGCTGGCAAAGTATCATGGGAGGTGTAGTCCAAAACATCTGGAGTGCCAAAGGTTGCCTATGCCTGGTCTAGGGTATTGCTGTGGGTACAGTGTTTTTATGTAATGGGATGAAGTGTTAATACTGGCTGGTTTGCTATTAGTTCCCTGGTGTCTCACATCCAGGGACACCAGGGAACAGTCCCGGGGCAGCACAGCTTGATCATATTATTAAACATTATCACATTGAGCAGCAGACACTAGGACCATAATGAGAGGGCTTCAACTTAGGGCATGACATAGAGCTGGTTTTGGGAGGGGCCTAAGCCATTATATGCAGGAGGGGCCATAAATGTACCCTTGGGCTTAAGTCCCTGGTAATTTTTTCCCGTAGCAACACCCCTGCCTATTAGTATAATATATTGCAAGATAAATCTGTTAAATCGTTGAATAACTAATAAATGACTTTTGTAGTGCTGGCTGAACCATGTCACATATAAAAATGTCAACAATATAATAATAATTTCAGGTTGTATCCGTTCCATTAATATAAACTTGCTTTTTGGTGATGGGTCCACTTTAACTAACACTTTCTGATTTCTAATTTACTAACCACAATATTTTCTGTGAGGAATTTCATCCATAACAAATACCGTATATACTTGTTTATAAGTCAATCTCGTGTATAAGTCGAGTGCAGTTTTGTGACCAACAATTGTGAAATATGCTATGCCTCGTGGATAAGTCGAGGGTAAAACTTGGGGCTCTGAAATTCTGTGATTTTTATAATTATATACACACACACTCATACAAACACACACTCTGCATTATATACACACACACTGCATTATATAGTGCAGCTCCCCGTCACTCCCAGTGTAAATCACAGTGCAATGACATCATTAGACCTACAGTCAAATTCAAAAACTGCCTGATCCATGGTGCATGTCTATGGCTGGAGGATCCTGTCATGTGCTAAAGGTACGGATGGGTTTTTTTTTCTCTCTTTTTTTTTCTACATATACTTAATTTTACAAAGATTCTATATCTTTTCAAAAAAATTATGAAAGGGTTATTATAATATTACAAAATAGTGCTGAGGTAACAGATTTCCTTTAAATATATTATTTATTTATTACTGGTGTTTATAAAGCGCCAACAGATTCCGCAGCGCTGTGCAATTATGGGAGAACGTACAATATACACAGACAAATACAAAAAGTAAAGAGGGCCCTGCCCGTAAGCTGAGATCTAGCCATTGAAGCTCTTTTATACAAAGTGCTTAGCTAGATAGCAAATTAAGCTTACAATCTAAAGATTGTAAAAGATGCTATTGTATCCCTGTGCATCAGGAGAGGAACTTAAAATGGTACATGTCCATTGACTATTACAGTAAAATGACTACTGAGATTCACATTTCCCATTGCACCTCAATCACAGTAAGAAATCTAATGTTGATAGAAAGCAATTTTTTATGTATTTATTTATTTTCAACCTTGACACAGAACAAACAAATATGCAATTTACTTTCACTCAGTCGCTCAAATGCTTCATAACTTTCCTGACATGTATTTGATATTGTACGCCATGATAAAATGCAGAGTACATTCTGTCACATAAGCAGTTAGGTATACAGAATAATAGATTCTGAAAAATTTCATTTTATTAAGGGATATCAAAGAGCATAAAGGAAACACATTTGTATAAATTGAAAATAACTGAAAAGCTTTTATAATTTTGCTTAACTAAAGAGAGCGCTACAAATATAAACTTAACTTTTTTAATTGAATTGGCCATGTCATTCAACGGACTTTGCACAATGTTAATGAAATAGGTACCTGGAATAATTTTGTTAATTTGTCCTATCAATTGAAATGGCAAATTGAATATTTAGAATAATGAAGGTCTGGTTACAAGAAAAAAAGAAAGGCTATATCTGTAAAGGTTGATGGGGTCTACTTGCTAAACAGCGAAGATATCTATCAGTTATTGATTGGCAAATTGTCACATCCTGTTCCATTCTGCGGATATTTCTGGCCTTGGCTTCTGGTATCCAGTACACTTTTTACAATTCTCGTTTAGTTTTTCTTGTTTTTTCTGGTTTTCTATTCTATGTCTGGTTTTCTTTTTGCTGGGTTTTCTGGGTTCATTCCTTTATTCCATTCCTGGAATTCCCAGTCTACTGGCCTTTAAATGTTTGTTTTTTGTTGCCACACCCATTCCTTTGCCATTAATCCTTTTTGTTTCAGTCCGTTCCTGCTAGCAGTGGTCTCATTTCCTCTGCTCCTTTCCCTGCAGGTAAGTACTGTGTGTGTTTTATTGTTGTTCATTTAGTCATGCATATCTAGGCAGTTAGGACCCACCGTAATTGGAGTACTTTGTCGCACTGGTGGGCTGCATACATCTTGGCCATTTATGTATGTCTAAATCTCCAATGTTTATTGCATATACAGTACTTCGTTATTTCTCCTATTGTTTTGCCTTGTATCTCTTGTCTTGTTTTATTTTGTCTTGTATTCCCAGTTCATGTACAGTCCTGTCCTGCACTGTCCATGTGCTGTTCATGTTTCCCTCATGTATTGTGTGCATGTTCTGGGTTCTGCTTCCTGTCCTGCTCCAGTTCTGGGTTCTTCTAGTCTTGCCTTATTTTCTAGTACTGGATACTTATCTGCTTAATATCAGCTCCTGGCATCCGCTGCCACTATAATCAACATTATGCACATTGTAACCATGTTCATATCATTTGGTTCAAGGACATTCAAGCTGTATTTGATGTTGAACACAGCTGGAAGTCCGCATTACCTGTCTGTTAGGAGGTATATTTAAATAAGCACTTTTATATAATAATACCTAATCTTCCATTTTATTAAATTTAAATTCGAGGAGGGGAAACTTGAGGTCATGTCAGAGGAGAATACCATAGTGTTAGCAATACAGGTTTGTACAGGTGTTACCTCAAACTCTTCATAGATTGTAAAATCCTTTAAATTACCTACATAATTAAAATTGGTGCACAATACCCTATTTTTGTGTATACTTATAAATAACACCAAGTTTTTTTGTTCTAAGTAATGAGTAGCTACGTACGACTCAAAGAGCACGACTTCTGGAGGATTTGCCCCTAGAGTACATGGGATCCAATAACAGAGATCCAGCTCATTATTTTGCAAAGATGACAGATCGACAGGTATTCATAAAAAACTTTTATTGTAGCATAAGCTTAAAAATATGAATGTGCAGAAAACCACTTCTTTTTGGCAACCTGTTGTCTCTCCTATAATTACAGGGGCAATCAGGCTGCAGTAGTGTGCAGAAAACTTTATTACAATAAATTGTCAGAAAAATATATTAAAAAAACACCCAGAAACGTGTTTAGCCAATATGTTGGCTTCTTCATTTCTGTTAAAAAAAAGTCATTTTTTTATAGAGACTCCTGTTAAGTAAGGATATCCTTATCATACTTTATTAAATATATTCTGATATTAAGGGGAGTGGCCACCGGAATGGGCTAAGGAGCTCAAAAAGCTAGAGCCTGATTAGAAGCTCTATTTAACGTGAGTGCTTCATTGTTGGATTAATAATGCATTGGATTTTGATGTGCATTGTGTTTTTTTTATGCATTTTTGGGCGAAGAACACACAAAGTGTTGTAGCAGCTTATATAGATTAATTACATACTATCTTGAATATTTTATCTTTAATGTTCACTGGTAAAACGCTCTGTACAATTGCATGCTTTTTAAAGTACTATAGCAATCAGCCGAACATTCCGTTTGTTAAAATTTTCACATTTAAAGCTGCTTTACCTTTAAAAATATTTTGAAGTCTCTGGTTTAAAGAATTAGATTATTTTAAACTTAAAAGAAACACAGCAAAGAAAAACAACATATATTTTATTATTAAAAATGAGATAATGCTTGAAATCAATGCAAAAATGCATATCAGTGAAAATAAAATAATATTTACTATGGAAGAAAATCTGTTCTGCATGTTTCTCAGATTACTTCATGTTATAGTAACAACAGAGCAGTAATGGAATACCAAAATGAGTATCAGACTTTATATACACCATTTCAAAGGAAACTCTAGGGTATATTTATCATTTATTTGTGTGGAAATAGTACATTTTAGAAATCTAGGTTTACTATTAAAATGTGTTCTAAAGTTATAGTAAAAAAAAAAAAGTGAATGGGATATGATCACATTTTTGAAGTGTAGTTGATTAATAAATAAGAGGGTTCGCTAACCTCAATTTCAATACTGAAAAAAATCTAATGTTGTCTTAGAATTTATATTCTAAATTCTGGAGAATATCTTATCTATATGCCTGCCCTTCCATCTACCAACCTGCCTACTGATCCCATACTGTATTTTAATATTTCCAGTCTCCTAATAGTTTTTGTCATTTTCCAATTGAATACTGTGCCAGGTATGCTGAACAACACAAATTTTAATTAAAATGGGATTTAGAAAAGACAAATAGAATGTCTGTCATATACTGATATAACATTTATACATTTTGATTAGGCTAGAGGCCAGCACTCCAATCATTCCTGCAAATGCAATGCAGTATTTTAAAATTTAACTGCACAACTTGCAATCTCTTAAAATGACACTATAAGCACAAAAGCAACTTTAGCATAATGGAGTGGTTTTGGTGTAAAAATAATTCCCATGCAGTCTCACTGCTCAATGCTATGCTATTTATGAGCAAAGGCAATGTGTTTATGCAGTCCTAGCCACACCTCTCCTGCATGTGACCTATACAGTCTCCCTATAAATTTCCTGGAAATAGAGATGTAATATTTAAACTCACTTTATTGCACAATCTGGATCTTCTTCTCTCTTGCTCTATTAATACCTACAAGCACCTCCTGGGTGTGATTACTGTTCAAAAAACAGAGCAGGAGATACAAACTTTTAAAGTAAACACCTTGTGCTGCCAGAACTGATTTAAACCATTTTTTTTAATGCAAGCTGTGGATGAGTCACAGTCAGGGGAGATGTGGGTAGGACTGCATAAGCAGAAGCAAATGTGAATTAACTCCTAAATGACAGACAATTGAGCAGTGAGACTCCAGGGGCATGATCTATACACCAAAACTGCCTCCATAAGCTAAAGTTGTTTTGGTGCTTAGATTATGACTTTAAGGTATGATGATATGCTTTGCAACCTGCAAAACGTGTAATATCAGTGGGATAAGCAAGAGATAAAGAACCCAGGACAATTTAAAGATCTAGTAAATTAATCCATGTTTGAGTATTGTTTCAGACAATATTCAAACATGGAATTCTTAACTACATCTTTACGTCTGTATAGCAACTATTCTTTATCTGAGAAATAATATATGGGAAAACACTAACTGATGATAGTCACAATCATTGCTGATAAAAGACAGAATTATTAAAGGAGTTACTTTCAACAAGACACAGCTGCAATTCATTCTTGTCATCCAAGTGCACATATCCCTCTTGGCTGCTATGAATTATATATATTTAATATAATCTGCCTTTAAGTTGCATACCAAAAATAAATGACCAGGCATTTTAAGCAGGTTGCAATCTATTTGCACATCCAGATGTGCAAATATAGAGTTAATTTATGCTCATGTATAATGTGTTGTTTTTGAAGGCAGATCGTAAATTTTGAGTAAAGTAATTCAAGTAAGGTAATTGTTTAATTACTTCTCCACATTTGTCATTATATCAAGTTCCCACGAAGTAAGCAACGGTTGTGTGTTTGGATAAAGTTGGTTAACAGGGTGGCTGTACAAGCTTCTTAAAAACAGAAATAAAATTATATATATACACCCAAAGTGTACACACAAGGTATACTTAAATATGTTTGCGAACAGCACAGGCTCAGTATAACTGTGAAGATAAAAATAATAAAAACATAGTGCTTTCAGTATACAGCCAGATATAAATAAAGCACGATGAGAAGAATCAAACTCACAAAGCAAGAGCCGTGCCAGGCTCTGTATAATCAGCGTGGGGGTGCCTATACAGGCTCAACGATCTAGTGCCAAGACAGGAGTACCGGATCAGTAGATAAAAGTGACAATTTATTGAAAACAATTAAAAAGGGGAATAAAGGACTGGAGTCCAAAGAAGGAAAGCAGTGTATATATATTTATATGTAGAAAATATCACCGCAACAATAATGTAACGTTCACTAGGGAACCCTAACACGTAGACAGGACAGAGTAGAGATAATTGCAATACCGATCATTAGAATGGTTGGATTATGCAAAAAGGGATAGTCAAAACACGAGCCGAGGTCAAGGGAAACAGAGAGACGGAATAACGAGAGACAAAGCCTAGTATCAGAAACCAGGAAATTCAAATAACAAGTGCAACGCTCAATGGTAAACCAAAGACCACAACAGGGCTCTGAGGCAAGGGAGGGGTTAGCCTATCTACACACAGGGTGTGTCTGATTGGCTAACCTCCAATTAGTGTTACTCACAACACATGGGAGGAGTTTCTTCCCTCCCTTGTGGTCTCTGAGGTCATCACTGTGTGCCGGAGCACATGACCGGGTGCAGCACACATATAGGGAAGCTGCTCTGGAGCGTGCAGCCTCAGACACAATGCCAGTCTGGATACAGGGACCAGATGACGCCGCTCGCTGTAATGAGGTAAGCAAGGTCGCCGCGAGCGGCACGGGGCCATGGGACCTGACAAACGGTCCTCACAAGTCCAATCCCAAAATCAGTGAATATACACAGCAAACGCGTTTCAGCTTCCGCCTTCTTCAGTTCTGTAGGATCTACCGTCCGTTGTGTTTAAGTATCCAGTCTTGATTCGATCATGAGTAGCAGCTGAGATTAGCAGCGGAATGTCACTTCCAGTGTGGCATTAATGCATCACCGGTTTTTCAACAACATCTCACTTCCTGTGTATCTGTTGCTAATCAGTATAGGTATTGTACAAGTCTCCATTTTGATTGTGGGCAAAATGCCCTTATAGTCCACATATGCAAGCAAATAGCATAAAGTAAAAACAGAGGGAAAAAGGAAAGGAATACAAATATGTCATATATCTAAAAACTTACACATTTTTTTGATTTGTTAGGCACATCCAGCTTCCCTACCTTTGGAAGAGCTGGTGTGGGTACTCTCCCTGTTGTCCAGATGCTCCTGTTCACATCATATTCCGGCTCTCAGCATCACAACAGGGTTTGAGGGATCAGTGAAGAACTAGAAGAACATCAACGCTCCATATCCGCCAATTGCCTCCTCTCTCTGCCCCGGTATATTTCGGCAGAGTAGGCATGGCCATCCAGGTAAGCACTGTGCTGGTTTGTACTTGTATTGGTGGCCCACACTCTCAATGTTCTCCATGGCTGGGCTGGCCATCTGGAATATTACAGGTAGACTGTAGCATCGGAGTGTGAACAGATTGTAATGTGTATGGTGTAGGGGTGTTTCCAGTATCTGAGAGTTGAGAGGAGACATTGGTCACTTTTTACCAGACTTCATCTGCTCACTGCAATGGGCAATAAAGCTGAATCATACCCCCAAACTCGCTTTAGCAACCCATGGTTTCTAAACTGAAGGTAAATGAGTCATACATTTATACTGCTACCAAACACAAATAACTACTTGCATTGCACTGTTTTCTGCCTAATGAACTTTAATAAATAACTGCATTTTGAGAAGCACCTTGTATTTGATATAAACAAAAATATTGAACATTATAATTAAAGGAACACTCCAAGTGCCACAACCACTATAGCACACTTTTGGATATGGTGCCAAGAGTGCCCTTGCACCACCTCCATTGTAAGTAGTCAAAATGTTATAGAACGGTTTGACTTCTTAGCTAGGGTCCACCAGACACTGCTCATTGCCTCCACAACTAGCTCTTAAGCAAGAGCTTTTCTGAGCTCTCCAAAGCTAACCTATGCAGTGCAGAGCTAGCTCATTGGCTAAAAGCATGCTGTAGTGGTTATGGTGTTAGTTGTTCCTTTAATACATGATGGTACCAGGAGAAATTGAGTTCTATCTGCAAATTAAGATTAAAAAGTACAGACACCCAACCACCCTCTCCCCACCCCCCCCTTTTTTTAACTTTTACTTTGAATGGGTTGGCAACAACAGCGATAGGTGAAACGTTGACCCTGATTGAAGTATTATTTCAATCTAAATTACTGTTACTATGTAACATGGGTGCCCCAGGGACAGGATGTGTTACAGGAATTAACCACCATCAGTCTTACAAATAACTACTTTTATGCACTAAGCACAAAGATTTTAGGATTTAGCTTTGGATTAAGGTAGACGCTGTATGATCCCTGGAATTAACAGTATGCAGCAATTTACACTCTTGTTTAAGAATATTGAAATGTGTGGTTGTATTCATACACTTTTCATTTCAGCTGTCTTTGATCAAAATAAGAGCGTTTATCAAAATAAGATGTTATGTTTTTGTATCATGACTCTGATGTTGACTTAGAGTATATATTGATTTTATGATCAGATTAGTAAGTCTCTTGCTAATAAAGCGGGCATACTCATTAGTATAGACACGTGTAGTGAGAAATAAACAGCTGTAAACCACTATTTTTTTCATTTACATTTTATTGATTATTATTGTATTATTGATAGGAAAAAAAAGAGCTATAAAATGAAAATTTAAAGGATTTTGACTCCATTAACCCCTTCACTACTAAGTGCGCATAACATATTTGAAACAAGGGATGCATAGCTAGCATATAAACATATCAGAACTCAACAAATGTGTGTATGTATTGCTTGGCAGACAAATCAAAAAAATTTAATTATCTACATTTACATAATGTTTATTCTTAACTTATTCAGCCTTTATAAAAAATTGGGAAATTAAGTGCTTTAGATAGCATGTAGTCCTTTATCTTGCAAAGTTTCGCACAGGGTCTGAAATGTTAGTATAAAAGCAAAAATGCAATTTTTCTCAATCGAATGAATACAAATTGTTGAATAAAAGGCAGTACAGCTTACTAAAAATAGCAACAAAATGTAAAAAAAAATCTTTATTTGAGCACAATGCCCACATGGAATAAAAACACATTTCTAAAATAAAGTTACTAAAATAGTAACTGTGAAATTGTAGAGTGCCTTCACTCCCTGATTGTAGGAATGATAGGACCCATTTAAACTTCCTGTACTGTTTGAAAGTAGTGGGGGAGCTTACATTTTCAACAAATTTACATATGTTATATCCGTAACTAGTGACTAGAGTTCTCTTTTCCTCTACAAGCTGGTAATTATAACTAGTGTATATAAATGAGAGTGAGGTTTTATGGACTACATTACGTTCTGCAAAATACATGAAATTAAATATGTTTATACTTGAAGTTGTTAAACCACTGTGTAATTTGAGCCTGGTGCTGTCTGGTCAACTGAAATGCACTTTAAATAGCTATCTCATCTTTAACTTGTGTGTCAACCAAAGTGTTTCTTTTAAAATAGCGAGCAACAACTCATTAAGTCCAAAAAATGTTTTAATCCAAACATATTGTCTGTTTATGGTTTTAGGAACATGGTCAAAACACATAACTGTTTCAATTGCAAGGTCACTTTTCTGGGCTTTTATTTATTTTTCTATTTAATCATTTTTCAGTGGTGTGATATGTACTCCAGGGTTATCCCATCCTGAATTATAGAGAAATCGAGATTGTAAAACTGTGGCTAAAATAAATTAGCTGTTACTACAGCTATAGCTAATTTTTCCAGATTAGTTTTTTGTTGTAATTTTTTTTATTTTACCTTTCAGATTTAAATTTGTTGCAATTGTGTATTTAGTAGTGGATAAATGCCAAGGTCAATTCTTTTTAATATTTTTTGTCCTTAAATTTGACATTCACTTTGATTCCTGGAAATTCTCACTTTAATGAATAACCCTGATGTTATATCACTACAAGAAAAAAAAAAAAAAAAACAAGATTATAAATGCAAAGTAAATTCAATGTATTAATATAGTTAGGACGGAGAGCCCTTCAGATTTGTTTGCTCCTGTAGGGGTAAATTGTGTAAGAATATTTTTAATAAAACATGGAGGGTGTTACGGTGTGAAATGCATCTATGTGTAGAGAAGCATTGTCAACATCCCTTTAACCCCTTAAGGACCAAACTTCTGGAATAAAAGGGAATCATGACATGTCACACATGTCATGTGTCCTTAACGGGTTAAAATTGTCAACAATACACATTTCATCCTGCACACTAGTTACTCAAAAATCCCTGCTGACCCGTCCCATCGTAAAATCCAACAAAGTTGCAGAAAAAGTGAATTATGTCTGACACAAATAGTATAACACCTCCATTGCAGAATACTCAACTTTTATGTACCGGAATAGGAAAGGAACAAAAAAGGAGATAAATTCAAGAAAAAAAAATAAAAATTAATTTGTCTAGTAATAAAAAACAAAACATCTAATAAAGGAATTAAGAAACAGATACTTTCCAACCATTCCGATTTTTAGCAGGTCATTTTTGATTTTCAGGTCCTGTCTCACTGACCCTACTTTTTTCCATAGTGTCCAACTTTAGGGGACACCAGAAAACTGTTCCCAAAAAGTGTGGTATAATACTCGGGTCATAGATGAAACAAGGACACTCCAAACACTCCAGAAACAGGTCGTTGAAGAACAAAGGCTATTTATTATTTTGCAGCTGTAAAGTCTCAGTCAGACAATCGTCTTGGAATACCTGACTGAGCACACATTTACAAGAGAACAAAGAATATATACCACAAATGACATATTCCATACATATAAAGAGAATACGAAAATTACACCTACAGTACTATAGTTGCATCCAATTATTAAACTAAAACTTCTCTTACATACGTTATCTAATAGTGGGTGTTCCTGACATTCCACACATGCGCCCTGGTCCAAGATAGTTGCGCAGTAGTTTTAACCACGTGAGTACTGAACTTTACTTAAACATCCTGTAGCTTCTACCACAAAAGTGTAGCGTGAGTGCATCATTAGATGCGATCACGCTGCACTCAAGGTACTAGGATCCTGCAGAGAGAACAGAATTGGTGCTCCCTCCAAGTCCTGACCTTGGTGGGCTAGACTGCTTGATTGGTAGGCAGCCTGACCTGCCAGTAATTCGGGCTGATCCACCCATTTGGGCAGAGCCAGTGATGCAATTTTGTGGGTATGTATATTTGCTAACAAAACTGAGCTTGCATGTTCGTAAAATGGCTAAAATAAGAAATGGGGAGCATAGGGATTATCAAAAGTAGACTCGCCTTAACCATCCTTGATCTGTCTTCAAGACAAATTACTTTGGAAGAACAAACTCTATTCGGCGTCTTCAAATACTGTATGTTGTCATTACTGGATCAGCTTTGATGACATATTTACTAACAATGCCTGCATCTATTTGCTTTGTAGGGCATCCCGTTATTGGCAAGTCTCTGCCAAATGCTTTACACTAGTAAACAGGCAGAGAAAAGATAGCACAAAATAAATATAAATACCGCACTCCAAAAGCAGTATGCCCAAATATTATAAAGAGGCAAAATATAAATTTAGCACATAGGGTAAGTACAGGTTGAAAACCAAAATCACAACACACTATTTGTACCACCAAAACCCTACTCCACCCTTATCAAAACAATGGACCATCAATTTGTATTTCATAGACCTCCTATACCTAATGTTATCCCTCAAGACAGAAACTATACAGCCGCGGTGAGTGATCAGAACAATCACTCATCAAGGATGTAATGGTTGAAGGGTATTAAGGGCATAACCCTGAGTAATAATAACAAATAAAGTAGAGGCTGGAATAGGTTAACTAGAAAGTGTTCCCAATTGCAGTCTCTATATCCTGGATGTGACTGCTCTGTTACTGTAGAGCCATAGATTGCTAAATCACGGAGCATAAGTAGAGCTAAAAATAATAAATAAACTTTAATGGTCCCCCTTGGGGAATAGGGAAAA